GAACATCATTCTGAGTGAGGTCAGCCAGGCTCAGAAGACCAAAAATCATATATTCTCCCTCTATGTGGACATTAGATCTAGGGTAAATGCAGCAATGTGGTTGGACTTGGGTCACATGACAAAGGGAGAGCACATACGGGAGATATAGGAATAGGTAGAAAACCCAAAACATGAAGGGTCACATGAAAAAGGGAGAGCACATACGGGAGATATAGGAATAGGTAGAAAACCCAAAACATGAAAGCGTTTGATGTCCCCACTCCAGAGGAACTAACACAGAAACCTTAAAGTGACAGAGGTTATCATGAGAAGGGGATCAGGAACCAATGTAAAGATCAGTTAGAGTTGAATCAACATGGGTTTAAGACATGGGTACACGAAAGCAATAGTAGGAATCTCTCTGTATAGCTATCCTTAACCCAACTAGCAAAAACGCTTTGTCTTCCTTATTATGCTTATGTCTTTTCTTCAACAAAATTAGTGATAAGGGCAGAACAGGACCTGCCTGGAACTGACGAGGGGAGGGAAAAAAGGCTAGGGGAGGGGGGCAGGGTGGAGAAATGACCCAAACAATGTATGCACATGCAAATAAATGAAAAAAAAAAAGAATTAAAAAATTTCTGCTTAAATTTCTGAGGCAGTTAATAGCAATAAATATAACTCAGATAAATAAAAGCTCTTTGGGGTCATTAATGGTTTAAGTTTATAAAGGTGTTCTGAGACCCAAAAGTTTGAGAACCACTGTCACAGGTGAGACTGGAAGGCTAGGCACCAAAATCTAATAGTAATCTTCTTCAGGTAATGACATTAGAAGCGGTTTTTATTTGCTTCTTTATTAGTATTCTTCACATTTTCTAAAAGGGGACAAATCAAATCACTTTTGCATGTCACGACGTTTGTCTCTATGTGTGCTACAGTGTTTCTACGTTTCTCCTGTGTCTCTCATGTCATTTTATTTTACACAATGATTTCAACTCACACTCACTGGAAAAGACTCTGTGAGCTTTCTTTTGTGCTTTGTAAATATGAACAAAACATTGGTCTTTTAGATTATGGTAATTAAAATATTTGATTGTTCATAATAAGCCAGATACTTAAGTCTCTCACACAATTCTCAGCTTAACCATCAGAAATATTTGTACGGATTGTCTAAACAATAGGATTTTAAGTGGCCTCCCTTCTGGCTCTGTAACTGACTGTAACCAAGATGAAGTCTTGGGGAGACTGTTTTCCACATGCTTTGACAATGGTGAGCCTAGCAACACTTGGCTCTTGACAGTATTTTGCAGATTAAAGAAAACATTTGTAAACAACCAGTGTCTGCTGGGGGCTTTGCTAGATAGCTGAGCACATTTTTCTCTATTTCACTGGTTCCCATATGTTCATGTACGTAAGAATCACACGGGAAGTTAGCCGAAATGCAGGTTCTCAGGCCTCAATATCACACATTCTAGTTTATAGGGTCTGTGGCAAAACTCTCAATCTCCCTTTTAACGAGTCTTGCAGGATGTCCCCCAACCCAGCTCCACTGAAGCTACTTTCTTAAAGATCTCCAATGATGTCTTAGGGTTAACACCAGTGTTCTCTCTTGATGACCTCAACTTTTTTGGTAACTTTGACTATACTGGCCAGGCCTTCTCCTCCTGGCCACTCCTTTCATTCTTTGCCTGATCCTTAAGTAAAGACATTTCCCAAAGATAGTGCTTCTTTTCCACTCAGGGGCCCAACGCTGGGTGTCCTCGCCCTTTATGTATGCAGAGTAACTGCTGTGTAGGACTTCCTCAAATACACCAAACTCCCTCTTACTTGTCCCTCAGGCTCCTCAAAATCTATGGCCACAATTTTCCCTCCACTCTCCTTCATACACACAAGCTGAGACCAGAAGCTAATCTACCATTAACAATGCTTACTCTCAAAGACCTGGAGGTTTGGTTACTGGCCTCTTACTTTCAGTATCAATGCAGTTGGCTAGAAGCCAGGTGTGATGGTGTGCTTCTCTTTTCCCAGCACTCAGGAGGCTGAGGCAGGAGGATTGAGAGTTCAAGACCACCCTGGGCTACCCAGCAACACCCTGTCTCAGAGAGAAAAATAAACAAAAAATCAGTTGCCTAGTCCTGATCTTATCCATAAAAAATTCCTTTCAGCTTTTCATGTTTTGCTACTCTCCTAATGAAGTCCTTCTAAACTTAAATGTTCCATCCTGACTGGTTGACTCTTCTCTCCTTCTACCACTTGAGGAAGCCACTTGAATCACCTGCCCCAGTGCATCTCTGATTATCCATCTGCTCAGTGACAGCCAGTGCCTACAGCAGCTCCTGGAGGTGTTACTTTTCTGCGTCCAAGGCCACCCATCAAAATCGCCCAATGGTCTCTCCCAGATAAGGCTAGTCTTCCTATCTGTCTCTGCTGTTTCCATCCTTCAAAGTGTAATGCAAGGGTAACTCTGAGTTCCCCAGATGGAACACAAGACAGGCACTGAAGGAGGTAAGGCACAGAAATGCCCTCAACTTCTATGTGCTGTTCAGTTTTACTCAATGGTACAAGAGTGTTACATGACTCATGAAACAGCGCTTAGATACCATTGATACATTAATTAGAGGCTTGGATATCTAAGGCAAGCAGGTTCAGCAGTAATTGTAACAATTATTAATGCAGAGACCATCTACAGAGCACAAAACAAATATATTATTCTGTTTGTTCACAACAATTTGGCAAGCTCAGAATTATGACCTTCATTTCGGAGATAAGGAAAACAGATTTCCAACATAAGTAGCTCCAAAGTTATACAACGAGGATATGGCAGATCAAAATTTTGAATGATCCTAAAGTTCATTCACATGGAAAGTTATGACACAGTCCACAAGCGGTATAGACTGGGTGACAAAGGAAGACTGGAACCCTGAATGTATGGTAGAGTGAGGTCTAAGTTTATGCTCTGCCTATTACAAGTTGACTTACAGTATTTAGATGTGTAAGTATATTAAAAATACGTGGGCTGATTGCTACACATCTAAGTCTATCTGTTATGTGACAGCTTTCATCTTTACTTCATTACCTGTTTATTTTTTAAAGCTCTGTGAGATTACATTTCTAATTACAGTCCAGTCAGCCCTCCATTCAACCAGATTAAAATATTCAGAAAAAATTGCATCTGTGCTGAGTAAGTACAGAGGTTTTTATGGTCATCATTTCCTAAATAATGCAGTTAGAACAACTACTTCTATTGAATTTATATTAGGTATTATAAATAATCTAAGGATGATAATTAAGTATGTAGCATGATGTAAGTAGTTTATATGCATACACTGTGATTTTATACGAGGACCTTGAGCATCTGCAGGTTTTGGTGACCTGTGTGACTGGGAGAGGTGTGTGTGGGGGTGGGAGGGGGGTGTGTGAGTGGGAGGGGTGTGTATGGGTAGGGGTGGGAGGGTGTGTATGGGTGGGGGTGAGGGTGTGTGAGTGGGAGGGGGTGTGTGAGTGGGAGGGGGTGTGAGTGGGACGGTGTGTGGGGTGGGGGTATGGGAGGGTGTCTGGGGTGAGGGTGTGGGAGGGGTGGGTATGTCAGTGGGATGGGTGTGTGAGTGGGAGGGTGTGTGTGTGTGAGGAGTATGTGTAGGTGTGTGTGGGGTATGTGGGTGTGTGAGTGTGTGGGAGGGGTGTGCCTGTGAGTGGAGGGGTGGGTGTGTGAGGAATATGCCTGGGTGTGGGAGGGGTGTGTGGGGTTGTGAGAGGCGGGTCCTGGAACCAATCCCCTAGGATCCTAGGGAAGACTTGTTGAGTTTCTACTAACAGAAGACTGTTCCGAGCTTCCTAATAGAAGGGCTCCATCTAGTGGAGCAATCCAACCATACAGCAGGACAGAAGTGCAGGGTTAAGCCTGGTACACACCAAAAGCTAAAAGCAAGGACAATCTCAGAGAAACTGATGTTTGCTAGGGCATGCAGTGGACTGTTTTCATCATATCTTGGTAAGAAAGAAGATGATGAAAACAGTGTGGACAAAGCTAAGGTGCAGGCAAGAGCTTTGGGACTGGCTGTAAAAATGCAAGGCACTGACCATCTTAGTAAGATCTCAAAGTGATTCTGCCCTGGAATTCAAAGAAAACACACACAAACCACAAACTACTACTTGAGGTTTTGCACAACACTAGTGTGTGAAGGTCATTGTTATCCCTAGTAAAACAAATTCAGTATTGTGTAAGCATTTTATCAAGGCTTGCTGGAAAAGCCCATATACTTTTATAAGGTTGATAAAAATTCTTTGGTTGAATAACTTTTAGAAGAAAGACACAGAAATTAAATTATCTGTGATTCTTTTACTTAACAGCCATGATGATCCAGATGTAGAAAGCTTAAAAATACCTCAGTAGAGCCAAAAGAAAAAAATATTAAAGTTTGTTCTTCAAGTCCTCTCATTTTTATACTATTTCATTAACAAACATCTGAGGACCTCCTCTAAAAAGAAAATATTAGAAAGCCCCTACCTTTATGAAATTCTATTACTCAAATTAAAAACCAAAGCCACAGTGGATGAGAAGAGTCAGTGAGGAGGAGGAGGGCGGGGGCTGAAGGAGTGCGTGCACTGACTCAGCTGGAAGCAGCAGGACTGGCACTGAGCCAGGTTCTGTACTCCAGCTCTACAATGCTTCAGCAATCCTGAAGAATGGATGACCATGAAGATTCTTCCGGAAACACTTACATACACTTTTGAAAAATTTCACAAAATGACTGTCAACAAAGAGGTACGAGAGTTATGGCCATGCTTGGCTTTTAGGAAAGCCTCTAGAATCCTTTTGCAAGATTTTAGCGAACGTCACAGTAACAATCGGAAACACCAAGTCCTGTTTGTAGATGTGATCTCCTGGTGAAGGGCCAGGAGAAGCCAATTTGACCGTCTTTTTACAAAGCTGAGGGTAGAACCGTCACAGACAACCTGTCATGGTGACTGTGTCACCACTACTTATTTTTCAAATATGTTTAAAGTTTTTCAGAACTTACCGCCCAGAAGAAACTGGCTTCAGTGAACCAACATTTTCAAATAGTTGGGCCTTTGCTGCCACTCTGAAAAACAATTTTAAATGCATTTAAGTATTATTTTAATATTTAAATAAACAAGCAAAAACATATTTTACTAATTTTAAAAATGAAGTCAATTGGAAAATCATTTTGTTCAATGTGAAAAGTCAAGGTTATCATTTAAAGAAAACAAAAAAGGATTTGCTAAGCACCACCACCAAAAACTGTCTTAAGCTTTAGTGTAAAAGAGATATTTAGCAGGAGTCCCGGGCTGGGGCTGTAATAAACCTTCAGTGGCCTCCCCTGGGGTCTTAGGGTCCTCATCCTTTTTACCTCAGGAGGCTGAGGTGGCAGTGAAAGGAACATTTTCTCCCCACTCTGCTCCCAGCAGGCAGCAGGTTACTGACTCCTGTGGAGCCACAAGGGTAGAAGCTAAGAATCAAATCAGCATGACAGAGAAGCTGTTGCTCATTCCCACGGCCACAAAAAAGCTAATGCTAAGATTATTTCCAGGGAGAGGAGGAATAGGAACAATGGAGGAGGTGAACTTATTCAAAGGACACTGTGCACATGTATGACATTATTGCAATGAAATCTTCCTGTATTAATAATGTATGCTAACAAAAATAAAATTTTAAAGAAAGATTATTTCATGTGTTTTTTATAGGTGTAAAGTGAAAATATGTCCAATAGGTAGACTTGCAGATGCAGCTCTCATTTCAAATCATTGAGAGTGTGTGTGGTGGGGTTGTGGGGAGGGCTTGTCTTATTTGGAGAGGTAAGGCATTGGGTGCAGAAGGAAAACAACTGAAATGAAGGCACCCTGGGTAATCACCAACATTCCTGCATCTTCTAGAAGGGAGTATCAGATTCCATGATGGCTGCCCTAGGCATTACACTAAAATAATCTATGTTCTTTTTGAACTGTCAAACTCTTCACAGAGCCAAGCCATTTGATAATCTCAGGGATTATTTTATATCTAACACAGAACACAGACATTTTTGTTCAATTTCTACATTAACTAGCAATGTGAAACGAAGATCTTCTCTTTCCTCCACCAAGAATTGAGTTTATATTCTCTCATTTCCAATTAAAAGGTTCTTGCCAGTACTGCCAAAAAAAAAAGTATCTCTCCTCTTTGCCTTTCATGTTCCTTGTTATCTATGAGCTTATTTAAATCACTGAGGACTCAGGCCCAGGACGCAGAGGACAGAAAACCAGCCAGCCTTCACAGGCTAGGAAGCAGCTGATTGGTCACAGACAGGGGAAGCTGGGTAGCTTTATAGGAAAGCTTCTTGCTCCAAAGCCCATAGGTACCCTATTATACATTGATTTTCGTGTCCTTAAGTGAAGCTATATCTCTGTTCTAGGAAAACTGCTTGAAGTGCTGCCCTATGGGACTGTTTACATGTCCTAAGCCTGTAATACTTTCCCATCCCTTTTAGAAAAGAACAGAGCCATACAGAAGTTGGCTGCATCACTCAAGAGAAGAGGCATTTCACTACAGGGTCCCCAGGGTTCTTTGGAACAAACTCAACCCGCCTGCATCCCTGGGAGACACAGATGACACAAACTAATCCTCACTTACACGGAGCCAGGGCGCTGGTAGCCATTGCTAGAGGCAGGATCCAGCCGTGACCTCCTGCACATTTTTGGTGGCAGCTCTGGGTTTGGTGTGGCTTTGGGTGTCTCCTTGGAACCAATAGAAGTTAGGCTTTGAACAGATCCACTATAGCTCTTGTTTCCTAAAACGAAAGCCCAAGAAAATAGGCAAGGTGCTATTAGACAAAATAATATCAGTAACGCAGTACATGTGCATAACAAAAGGAAACGTTTTTCTCCAAGATGAAATGGGAAGGCACAGAATGTTCTTTAGGCACAGCACTCCATCACTCAGGGAGATCAAAATCTATAGTAATTACAAAGACATCACCTCAAGATGGGAGGACGCGGGAGAAAGTCACTGTGCACAGACGTTTTAAAATCCGAGTTCAGGAACAAAGCAGATAAGCATCACTAGTTTCCTCCATTAACTGTATCCCTGTCTAGTAATGTCACTGAGGCAGTGACGGCTTGTCGGGACTGTGCTCTTGCTTACCCTCGGCTGCAGAAACAGATCTCAGAGAGGAAGCAGAGGGACGCTTCAGTCCTGAAAGTCCAGAAGGCCCCTTCCTCACCAGGTCTATGGGCGGCGAAATGTCCCCGGGGCTAGTGACTGACGCCACGCTCTGGCAATCGGATTCTGCATCTGTTTTGGTTGCGTCTTCTCGAGAGCTTGATTCAGGACTGGTTGTCCAGACACCAAGACTCTTCTGTCCATTGGAAGACGATGGCGTTGCAATCCAGGGAATCCCTCCAGGCTTCTCCCTGGGCTGGCAGGAGGCTGACTTTGTAGTGCTATTTTGTTCAGAGGAGTGAGAGGAGAGAGACTCAATGCTGCCCATAGGTGTGCTGTCTGGGCTGCTGCTGTAGGAGTCACCTGAGGATGAGTGGGAGTGACACAAACAAAAATATGGTAGCTGTTGGTCACATCTCCACGAAAACCCTCCTGTTCTCAGCTCACTATGTCCTCTCTGGCCACCTGATCCCACTGACACAGTAAACCATTACTTTGTGTGGAGAACTGCCCTCAGTATTGGAGAAAGTCTTTAAAATATGCACTTGAACTGGTCGATTTATTTTTTAACACTATTCAAGGAAGACTTCATATATATCTATGAACTATCTACCCCTATGTTATAACTTTGTTTCTTGAGGTATTTGTGGGTTGACTTGAACTCAGGTAAGATTTGCCTCTGAAACAGGACTCAGAAATAAGATAAATCAGATTCCTTTGTAACATTATAAGAAATCAATGGAAGGAGGCATATTAGAGATGCATTTCTACATCTTTTACTTTTCCGATCACAGGTGTCTCTGAGTTATAATGTCCTTTAATTCAAAGGCCTAATTTAATGTCAGCAGCAGATTACAAGCTGCTCACAATTTTCAAAGAAAGGGCTTTTGTTTCTTTTTTTGTTAAGAATGTAGTAACCTAAGAAACTGGCTTCTTAGCACATTTATTTTTTAATGTTCCTAAAAGTTAAAAAAAATCAGAGAAATTATAATAGTGCATTCAAATATACCTAAATTAAAACTTACCAGACTCTTTTCTATTAAACATGGGCTGTGGGAGAAATGGGTGCCTGAGTTACAAAATAATATGAGACTGATTGCAGCTTGGTTTACACCATGGGTTCCAGCTGTGGCTTGGCTCAGAATAAGAAGTTAGTGATAATGTATGGTGGTGGTTTTCTTTTTCTTTCTTTCCTCCTTCAGACACTCTGACACCCAAGAGACGGTGCTTTAAGAACATAATGTGAAAGAAAGCAAGAAAATGACTGTTTCAGTCCAAGTTTCTCTTGCTTTCTTACCTACCACTTGGACAACAGGACAAAACCTGCTACCAAGTAGCACCCAATGTACTTGATCACACAGCTGCAGAAAAAAGAGCACAGAGAATGCTATTTTTTCTTTGTTGTAATAATGAATTCTCTTGTCCAGAGAACCTTTCAACTAGACCAACAGAATGAAGAGGGTGATGGAGAAAGCATGGGTGGGAGCCTTTCCTATTTCTACCTGATTACCAAGGAAGTGACGTCAGGGTGAATTAAAGAACAAAGACAGGGTCTTCCTAAGACCAGGCACACTTACTGTCAGGCTCCGCCAGGCACGGAGTGTACCTTCCCCTGGGTTTCCGAGAACCTGTAGAGAGGCAGATGGCTCGTGTCCTTCGGGATCCCGATCGAGACTGAGGCTGAGGGAGAGGAATGCTTGGGTCTGGGGCAGTATGAAAAATCTATGTAGAAGAAGCATAGACAAAAGTCAATCACAGCATCATATAACAAGTTTTAGAGCTACTGCATAATCTTAGAACTGCAGGAGATGCTTGAAATAAATGTTCCAGAGTCACCATCCCTTTCTTTTCCCTTTACTAAGGACTTTCTTCTCTGGGTTTTCTATTGTCCCTCATTTCTAAACAGTGAAATTCAGAAACCTCTCACGTATGAACACATGTCTACATCAAAACACACTGACTCTCTTTACTGTAGTAGTCTCTATCCACCTCCATCATGGAAGGACATGAGCTGAGAGAAAGAGGCTGGGTTGGCCTCATTTCTCCAGCAGAATGGCTCCTGACTTCGCAGGAGAAGGTGCTATCTGCTCCTGGCTCTGAGCTGTAAGGGACTGGGCCAAGTTACTTACAAGTAGAGGAACAAGCACTGCCAATGATGCAGTGCGGGCTCGCCGCCACCGGGAGGGAGCCGGCAACCTCAGACAGCCGCTAAGGCCATTCTTCTGAGGTCTCTGAGACCCTGAGGACAAGGCACCATAATTCTCTAACCAGGACCAGATCAAATATAAATGGGATTCCGAGGAGTCAGACCTTAAATGTCTGATTGTGCTCAATGATCCAGTAACTTGGCTTTCACAGCTTCTGTAGTTATTCCAAGATCTCACTCTTGCGAAGAAAACGTCTGTAGGTGTCGGAGATAGAGGACTTTGAGACTTTTTTAGTTTGTTTTTCTGACAGTCTTACATTTTTGTCCAGGCTGGTCTCAGATCATGATCCTCCTACTCTCACCTGTCAAGTAGCTGGGACCAAAGGTGTGCACTACCATACCTGGCTTGTTTTTGAGATGAGGTCTTGCACTTTTGCCCAAACTGGCCTCAAACCACCATGCTGCTCCTCCTAGCTCCACCTCCAAAGTAACTGGGATTACAGCTAGGCATTATCAAGCTTCACTCACAAAGAGAACTACAAAATGCTTCTGAATATGAATAATAAACTGACTTACACAAATGCTAAAGAAGAAAACCTCAGAAGAAACTGGTGCAGAAGAAAAAGAAACAAGCCTCCTGAAGGATTTTAAGAAGCACTGAGAAAATGAACAATGAGAAAAAGATGAAATCTTCAGGAAGAGGTTAATTTTCACAAAATCGACAGGATGGACATTTTGTAGTAATGTGAGATCACAATGTACAGCTCACAGACCATACAAATGCAAAATTCCACTTTAAAGGTGAGACGCAAGGTTTGACACTTGCACATAAAAATTCAGCCTACCTTTTCGTAGTGCTCTATGAGAATCTCAACCACTATGTTCTGGAATTTAATATTCATCATAGCAGCCACAGTTTCTTCCTGAGCTCTCATCAAAGTGGGGCCAAAAATGACGCCGAGATTGGAGACAGTCATGAGATTTTGTTGGCTGTGCAGTGATACTCTGCAAGTAAAGAACCAAAAAGATCTTAAGTTAAATGTTCAATAATTACAGAATATCCTTTTCCACCAAAATTATGGCATACGAAATGTCGAATATAAATACCACATTCCTAGTCCATTTCAGCCATTTCCCACTGGCACGAGTAACAGCCTTAAAAAATGTAAAGAAGCTCTTTATGACACAGATAACAGAGGGTTATAAACTGGAGTCCCTTGTGGTGCTGTAGAATATGTGACTTCTTCCTCCTCTCTCCTGCACTGTGGTGTCCCTTATTCAGTTTGCCTCTTCTAATAAATATTTAAGGAGGGAGAAATGCTAATCACCCTGTTTTGTTCATTATGCATCATGTATGTACTGAATTATCACATGTTGGCACAAATACATGCACTCATCCTGTACCATCTTAAAACATAAAAAAAAGTAAAAATTAACATTAGTCCAAATAAAGCTAATAACTATAAAGGCTAAATCATGGAAGGAAAACTTTTTTTATTTCCTACATTGAGTCATTACCCTAGAAAGACCTTCAAGAGATTGGTGTGTTCTATGGTATTTTACTTCTTTCAGGACAGTTAATAGTAGGGTAGGTGTTGTTGTCTTTGGACTAAAAAAAAAAAGAAACTACAGAGAACCTGTCTCCAGGGATCTTCATACAGACTGCACTTAATCACCACAGTGAGTCAGCTATCCCTACTGCGCACATAAAAACTCCAGAAGCTCCTGAAGTAAAAATTATGTACTTGAGGTTGTGAAAATTAGGGACACAGGTGTTATTTCAATTTGGAGCTTCTGTCTGCAGATCAAGGGTTTCCTTGATTCCCAGATAAATCACTGGTCAGCACACAGGTCTGCTCCCTCATCGTTCCTCTCTTCCATCTAAAACTTCCCTGAATGCATGCCTAGTGCCAGTGGGTAGCAAGACAAGCAGAGGTGGTCGTCACTGGTGGCTTACAAATGCAATGAAAAGTCTCACTGGCTGGAGCAAAGCAACCCCAGCAACTTTCAAGGATGACTTTGATTAGCTTACTATTTAATTTGGAAAGTGGATCCATTCTTAAAAAGGAACCTCACTCATGTGACCCATCTTCTAGTTTACCCAGTGACTCTTCTACATCACTCCAGGCAAGGCCTGGAAAGTAGAGATTTATAAAACTAAACAACACAAGATTATGTTTCTGTCTCACTGAGTAGACATCACTCACTGCATTGCACAACGAAAAGTGAGTGTTCGTGGAAAAGCCAGGCTTTTGGATTATCCATGCAACTCACAACACAAGACAGGAAGCCTTGGCTCCTCATTGACTGAATGTTGTATCCAAGAGAGCCTGAGTTAAGAAGACCTTAAGAGTAAGAACACGTTTCAATCTAAGTTTCATTTTTATATACCCAAATACTATATATTAATTGCTTAGTATATAGCTTGTCTAATGACAACCTAGCAATGTGTGAAAGCAGTGAGCCTGTCTGGATTCACTGCATGACCTATCCCTTAGGAACGGGGTGAGTATGGTCAAGTGACTCCGTATCACTAGGCTTTGGGTTTCTCATCTGTAAATACATATGCCAACTCTCATAGGGCTGTTGAGAATTAAATGACATAATGGAATTAAATTAATTGAAACACAAACTGAAAATAATATTCTCCCTTGAAATTACATTAGTCTTAGGCATGCTTGTTAAAACATTATCATTTCTCCAATGTAAACAAAATGGGTATGTCTAGTACTAATCTCAGGAACAGATGTGGAAATCTTAAAATCTTGGGGTATTTGGAAAAGCAGCATTGGTGATCATACTGCACGTGACATGGAATGTTTTCAGCACCAGAATTTTCTTCATAGAATTTCCCTTTCCCTGGGCTCCTTCATGGATACAACCCTTGTATTGTTGGGTTAATAACAATGAGAAATGTAACTTGTTTGGCATTAAAACAACACAAAGGAAGTGGGTGAGGGCAGCTGTATTAGAGTAAGAAAATAATACCAAACTGTAACTTACACCCACAAGAACAAAAGAAAAGGACAGGAAACAGTAAATAAGAATGTTAATATATCAAACTCTGTCAAAATATACTTGCTCTTCTTTCTTCCCCAAGCCTCTTTATGAGGCAGTAACTATATAAAGTAATAATTTGAAAATGCACGGTTGAACTGCTAACATATGTAAGATACAGCCTGTATAAATAACAGCACAAAAAGCTGAAAGAGGAAACAAAACCATGTGAGGGTAATGTTTCCAAACCTCTGTGGAATTGTTAGTATAAATCTGAAGCAAATCCTGGTAAGACATGCATGGCAAGCCTTAGGAGAACCACGGAGTAAAGAAAGCAGTAAAGGTGAAACAGAATAAAAAGCACAGCAGATATATACACATAAAAAGAAAATATAAGACATACACCACAATATTAATAAAAACATCAAACAATTCCATTTACAATATCTCAAAAAAAATCAAATACCTAGGTGTAATCCTAACAAAAGATGTGAAAGACCTCTACAAGGAAAACTATACACTTCTGAAGAAAGAGATTGAGGAAGACTATAGAAAGTGGAGAGATCTCCCATGCTCATGGATTGGTAGAATCAACATAGTAAAAATGTCGATACTCCCAAAAGTAATCTACATGTTTAATGCAATTCCCATCAAAATTCCAATGAAATTCATTAAAGAGATCAAAAAATCTACTGTTAAATTTATATGGAAACACAAGAGGCCACGAATAGCTAAGGCAATACTCAGTCAAAAGAACAATGCTGGAGGTATCACAATACCTGACTTCAAACTATATTACAAAGCAATAACAATAAAAACAGCATGGTACTGGCACAAAAACAGACATGAAGACCAGTGGAACAGAATAGAGGATCCAGATATGAAGCTACACAACTATAACCAACTTGTCTTTGACAAAGGAGCTAAAAATATACGATGGAGAAATAGCAGCCTCTTCAACAAAAACTGCTGGGAAAACTAGTTAGCAGTCTGCAAAAAACTGAAACTAGATCCATGTATATCACCCTATACCAAGATTAACTCAAAATGGATCAAGGATCTTAATATCAGACCCCAAACTCTAAAGTTCATACAGGAAAGAGTAGGAAATACTCTGGAGTTAGTAGGCATAGGTAAGAATTTTCTCAATGGAACCCCAGCAGCAGAGCAACTAAGAGACAGCAAAGATAAATGGGACCTCATAAAACTAGGAAGCTTCTGTTCATCAAAAGAAATGGTCTCTAAATTGAAGAGAACACCCACAGAGTGGGAGAAAATATTTGCCAGCTATACATCAGACAAAGGACTGATAACCAGAATATATAGGGAACTTAAAAAACTAAATTCTCCCAAAATTCATGAGCCAATAAAGAAACAGAACTTTCTCAAGAGAAGAAATTCAAATGGCCAAAAACCCCTTGAAAAAATGCTCACCATCCCTAGCAATAAAGAAAATGCAAATTAAAACCATGCTAAGATTCCACCTCACCCCTGTTAGAATAGCCATCACTAGCAACACCACCAACAACAGGTGTTGGCGAGGATGCGGGGAAAAAGGAACCCTCTTACACTGTTGGTGGGAATGTAGACTAGTACAACCACTCTGGAAAAACATTTGGAGGCTACTTAAAAAGCTAGACATTGATCTACCATTTGATCCAGCGATACCACTCTTGGGGATATACCCAAAAGACTGTGACACAGGTTACTCCAGAGGCACCTGCACACCCATGTTTATTGCGGCACTATTCACAATAGCCAAGTTATGGAAACAGCCAAGATGTCCCAGCACTGACGAATGGATTAAGAAAATGTGGTATCTATACACAATGGAATTTTATGCAGCCATGAAGAAGAACGAAATGTTATCATTTGCTGGTAAATGGATGGAATGGAGAACATCATTCTGAGTGAGGTTAGCCTGGCCCAAAAGACCAAAAATCGTATGTTCTCCCTCACATGTGGACATTAGATCAAGGGCAAACACAACAAGGGGATTGGACTTTGAGCACATGATAAAAGCGAGAGCACATAAGGGAGGGGTGAGGATAGGTAAGACACCTAAAAAATTAGCTAGCATTTGTTGCCCTCAACGCAGAGAAACTAAAGCAGATACCTTAAAAGCAACTGGGGCCAATAGGAAAAGGGGAACAGGTACTAGAGAAAAGGTGAGATCAAAAAGAATTAACCTAGAAGGTAACACACACGCACAGGAAATCAATGTGAGTCAATGCCCTGTATAGCTATCCTTATCTCAACCAGCAAAAACCCTTGTTCCTTCCTATTATTGCTTATACTCTCTCTACAACAAAATTAGAGATAAGGGCAAAATAGTTTCTGCCGGGTATCGAGGGGGTGGGGGGGAGAGGGAGGGGGCGGAGTGGGTGGTAAGGGAGGGGGTGGGGGCAGGGGGGAGAAATGACCCAAGCATTGTATGCACATATGAATAATAAAACAATAAAAATTTTAAAAAAAGATGCTTTCCATCTCCTTATCTAAAAAAAAACATCAAATATGAATGGATTAAATAAATCAGTCAAAGATTAGAGATGACTGAGCTAAAAAATATAAGGTCCAACTGTATGCTTTCCATGGCAGGCATAATTTAGATTAAAAATACAAATAGGTGGAAAGTAAAAGGAGGAAGAAGATACACAATACAAGCTTGAGGAAGCCAGAGTTGTGATACTAATGTCACAGAAAATAAGACTTTAAAACAAAGAAACACTATTAGAGATAAACATAGAAATATAATGATAATTGGGCCAATCCAAGGAGAAGACACAAATGTTATAAACACATATGCACACAGCAATAAAACATCTAAATGCAAGCATCAGGATGGGCTTCTGGAAAGGTGTTCCAAGCAGACGACACATTTGCACTGAGTTAAGAATTTCTGGTCACTTGAATATTATGGGATTAAAAATATCTTAAATAGAGTGGTAAGTTTTGCACCACTAGCAAATATCCATGTATAAAATGAAAAGGTTTTTCATTTAGGAGAAATAAGACTTTCACTTTTATTTTACATTCAAAAGAAACTCTGTTTTTGTGAAAGTATTAGTTCTCCCAATAAACAGATATGCTCCCACAAACATGACTCTTCTTTAAAAATTAAGTAATAATACTTTTAAGTATTTAAAATTAGTTTAAAGTTAAAGACACCTAGCCTTTGTTTTAAAGACATCCACATAAAGGATTTTCAGAAATTACAAACTGGGTTATGTTATTTCTCAAAGCTAATTAATGAAGATTCACAATCAGTCCTTAGTCTTTGGAATCCCAATCTAGGTCACTGTTTTTAAACTCTTTTTTTTTTTTCAGCCACGTAAGGTTTACTCATTTGTCATTTTCATAGCAAGTAAGTGACTGTCTGGGCTCCCATTTCACAGCTGCTGCTCAGTCAGTGGGACTTCACTGTTCACAGGTTCAAGAAAGGAGCCAGGAACTGCAGTGGAGCAGAAGCACTTTGAGCACTCTCAGGGACAGACACTCTTCCCTGCTGGGCTAGTGTCAAAGCCACGTGAAGGGTGGAGGCATGTTAACATAACATTCTGTGTAATTGAGCAAACACATTTTATGTGACATTCATGTGGCTTTTAAAAGTACATTTAAAAAGGCCTTGCTAGAAGATTAACTTGAAGATGAGCAATGAATGCCTAATAAATAGTGTGGTTAAATTTAGTGAAGAGTTCGAATAATTCAAAATTAATACAGACCAAGTATCATGAGCTGTTATGGATCAGCAGTTAGTGATAAACTTTAAATGAGGTTGTTTCTAGTAAATTTCCTTTTTATCTTCGGTGGTGGTGGTGGTGGAATGTACGTGAGGGAGTCATATTATATCACAAAGCCTACAAATTAAGATGAGAAATAGTGTGTAACACTATTTCAAATGTGTGGCCCAACTGAGCATAAACCGAGTTAAGTTCTTGTGGCAAAAAGGAAGAGATTAATCATTGCATTGTGAATTACAGCACTCACTGAAATGGAAAGTGTCCCTAGTAGATAGCAGATGATACACTACAGTAATTTTTTTCAGACAGTTCCATTATATACCCCAGGCAGGCATTGAACTCGAGATGCTCCCATCTCTACTTCAGCAGCACTGAGATTACTAGAATTTAAAATTTTGTTTCCAGGATCACAAGAAACAAAGTTTTAGAGCAATATGTGCGTGTGTATGTCTTTCAATCTCTAGATAGATGGATACATCTATTAGGATTAATCTCACACAACAGCTTTGCCAGGCCACGGTACCCAGGTATTTGGTCAAACATCATTCCAGATGATTCTGTAAGGTATTTTTTGGATGAGATTAATATTTAAATGAGTATACTTTAAATAGCACAGATTATCATTCATAAGGCCCATAGGATTCATTCAAATTAACTCAAAATCTTTGAAGAAAAAAATTGAATTCCCCTAAGGACGAATGAATCCTTCTCCAGCCTTACCTCCCCCAGCCCTGCCTCCGGGTTTGAGCTGCAGCATTAACTGCTCTGGATTCTAGCCCCAGCCTGTCCTGCAGACTTCTGACTTTCAGCTTTCATTAATTAATGTGTGAGCCAATTCCTTAAAGTCAATCAACTAACCAACCTGCCTGTCTCTTTTTTCTTTCTCCCTTACACACTATTGCTTCTGTCTCTCTGGAGCACACTAATACTGACTGTCTCTCTCTGTACCTATGTACACTATTGACCTATCTGTCTTTCCATCTGCCTAGAGATTTAAAAATACAGGGATAAACTAACAGTAAAGTCAGAAAAATCTTCAGAGACCAAGAAACACTGTGAATCCAAAGAGGGAATCTCACATTTGAGTGAGTGGTTTCACACTCCCTGCTTACCACACACCAGAAAAACCTGGAAAGCTACTATACATTCCTTCATTTCTCAGTTGACATATGTTTTATCATTAACAGTTACAAAGGATATATATTAGAAATAAATAAAGGTATGCACAAACATATACACAGACACATCTTCAAAATAAACTGTCATATCAGCTTTAAAGCATATCCAACAGAGTATGATCACAACAGCAATGACACAACACCATCACATGCTTCAAAAAGAAGGTTAACATCAACAGACAAGCAAGTAGTCAAATGAAGGCAAGTCAGGGAATTACTTGACCAGATGCTTTATCAGGATGTCCAGCATCTCTCTGTTTTTCTCAGGTAATTTGTGCACCAATGCATGTACAGCCTCCACCCTGTAGTTCTGGTCATCTGACTCTGTAATGCAAAAAAAAAAAAAGGTCGCAAATGCTCCAGCTTTAATTGCATTCATAATCTAAGCATCACAACAGCCCAAGACTTCATGTCTCAAAGTGCTGCTTCCTGTAGTGTCCTCTTCCTCATTCCCTCAGGGGTAGAGAGGTGAGTAACTGTCCATGGTCATGAGGTTAGGAAGAAGAAAAGCCAAACAAATTCAGTTCTGTGAACTTTACACATGTGCTTCTAGTCACTGAACTATATCCACACAACCACAATGCATCACCTGCTGGGTTTTGCAAAGGATAGAATAAAACCTTTAGAAATGAGTTATAGCCACTGATGTAGTCTGCCTGACCCATGAGGCACTACACGACACACTAACACCTTGCACCCTCCAAGAGATTCTTTCTCATGTGAACAGAGGGGACCAGCAGTCCTCTCCTTATTTTAGATTTAAATTAAAAACAGTGTGACTTTCCCGAGGTATCAGACATCATATAAACAGGGGCTAACAGACTGTGAGCTCACACCGACAATGATAAACCTGAACTATGAGCAATCACTAGGCAAGTCCAGTCCTGTCAGGCAAAAGAAAAGATTTTGACAGGTCTGGTAGGGAAATATCGAACACTTCAGATGGGGAAGTCTAGCCAACCTCCTCTTTGTCAGTAAACAAATTCTGGGTTGACCGCCCACCCTGCCCAGACAGTGCCCCAACTCCCAGGTTTATATTGTGAGACCACCATTGTTTCTGGGCACCGATATGGGGTGAGGAAAGAGCCTGGCTCAGGCTAACCAGGAAGTCTCTCCCAAGGAGTTGGAATAGAGACATCGAAACTCTGAGCTACGTGTTGAACATAACAAAGAGATGATCATATAAAATCAGGGCTGGGGTAACTGATGGTGCCCCAAGAACATCTAAGTGGAAAGGGAGAGGAGGATGTGATAGAAACACAACAAAAGCCGATGTGAGAGATCCTTTGGAAAGAGTGAGGAGAAAAATATCACTTCCAATTTTGCAGGATCTGGATGAGGCTCACAGATAGCCTGGCCCTTCTCTGAAAGAACTCTGTGATGTTTCTTGGGCCATGAGTAACTTTTTTTTTTTTTATTAAGGTGGATTTTTCTTGCTTGATACCAAATAACTTACTTTTATTAAAAAATCTAGTTTGCCATCTAGTAAATAGGACCATCCTTGACCCAGATGAAAGATGAATCCTCATGTATAAGAACTTATTTTGGAATATCATAGCACTGAATAATGTCATCATTTGCCACAGAAGCAAGTAAAGAAAAACTTGTGATCAAAAGTTTATAACAAAACAAGCAGTTCCTTTAAGCCAAATTTCAGCCAGGTGGTTCAAATTCCACTTGTCATAAAACAAAATCTCTCTGTGCGAAAGGGTACTGGGTTAAGAGATGAAAAACAAAATAAAACAAACAAACAAAAAAACTCACTAGCTTATTATAGCCATCATTTTGCTATGAATTTGCTACAGTTCTGGGACAAGTGACTTGCCCATCCTGAGTTCTGACTTCCTAGTCAATAAAACGAGAGGTGAGATTATACACGTTCTCAGTGCTTGTACGTCTTACAAAGACAATGTAGAACGGTGAGCGTTCAGGAAACAGCTAAACAGTACAGGTGTTTCACAGGTAACGTGGTCAGCCATGAAGGCTGATTTGAAAACTAAGGTCACTCAACTTTATGTGACATCTTTATCAGCAGACAACATTTCCCGTCATTACAAACACAACTGCTTTCTTTCTTGGACTATGAAAAGTACTGTTAATTACAGTCACATCTCATACAACATAACAATGAAATGCCAGCAATGTCATATGTGCTGCATTCAGATGGCAATCTGGAACTTGGTCTCAATAGTTGTAAAGCACTATTGCTCACTTCTCACGGTCTTACTGTCCTTCACCAGACCCCGGGCTCATTTTTCGATTAAATGTAACATCATGCAGTTACGCATCTAAACAAATCACATAAATATGTGATCATATTTAATACAACATGAAGGGAAGGAGATTGATGCGTTATCTGTTATTCACCAAAAATATCTGATTATTCTCTCTAGACTCTGGAATGTAGCACGTGACTATCTGCGCATCTGAAGTCTTACTTATTTAACAATAAGGCTGGTATTAGTCACCCCAGAAGATGGAATTAGAATTCCTCATACTTCTTTCTAATCACACCAGTCACCTCAAGGGTAGTCTTGTTTTCATCAGATTTTACTGCATTAAGTAGCAAACTGTTTAGTTCACTCTACAATTCTTACTGGCTTACACACTACACTGCAAGCTGTAAAGTATCATATTGACAATTTTTAAGCAATGTGTAAAAATTGTCAATGGACATTTGTACTTGCATGTATGATACAGCATAAAACCACATCAGTGTCCACGTCTGATGCAGGTGCACTTACTAACAGCCATGATGAAATCCTTGTGCAACTTGTAAGTCATCAGTGGTTCTGCAAGGCACCTACAACAGAGAGACAAGCATGTTTTGCATCAAGGTGTCTTCTACCCCCTAAAATTTCAACGCCTCTTTTATAAACTCAGTGATTATTTTTTATCATTTAAAAAATAAAATAACGAGAAATAAAAGGATTGGGTGAATAGGCAGTATGCTAAGGAAGAGGGGTGTACGCCAGGCAATCCTAAGATGCAGACCTCAAGGGAGTTAATGCCCCTTGTCATAGTTGTATTAGGAGGGGAGGACAGGAGACCACTTTTTTCACTTTGTGAGAACAACCTTGAGGAGCTAAAATCTCAGATATGGAGACAGTAGATAGAAAAAGGGAAACAAAATCTTACTTAAATTTGTTTAAAAAATACAGAAGAGCTTTACATACAAACTTAATATTACTCAAAAAATACTAATTTGAATTAACAAAATATTGTTGCCTTTCAGGCTGTTACTGGAAAACACAAGTATGAGTTCCAGAATGTGAACTGTAACTATCACCACCTTGTGCTATTCCACCCAAGTCAGGGCTTTGAGCTATGGAGTGGAACTTGTGTGCACAGGCTCCATCAGGTCACGTGGTTACTGCCCAGAGGGAGAAGACCAAGTCCAGAACATCAGGATGTCCATCCTCTTTACCTGAGGTAGTTTTTCAGCCCACTCGTTATGGTCTTATTGTCCCACAGTTCAATATCAATGTCAATATCAGGAGGTGATTTTGGAGCTAGAAAAAATAAAAGAAAGATGTATACACTGTGCAATTCAGAATATTCCTTGTGTCATTATGAAAATGGCTACCAACGTAAGTTGGCCAAAAGAGACAGGCATTCATTTCTTGGGATACCAACAGAGTTGACTTTAGAATTGCTGACTGGGCGAGCTGGTAGACACTGAACTTCACTTACACCTCATGGAATAACAGTCTCTCCAAATTGTTGCTCATTGCTAACATGACAGGGTACTTACCCAGCATGCTTCTAAGTGCTTTTGCATTCAATTCTCACACTCTTAAAGAGGCAGGTAGTATATAATTATTCCCATGTTACACATGAGGAAAGGCTGAGATACAGAGAAGTTAAGCAAATTACTAAGGGTCACAAGCCTTTTAAATGACCAAGCTGAGATTCCAAGCCAGAGAATCTGATTATAGCATCTGTGCATCTCACTACATCACTGGCTAACCATAGGACACTTGAGGAAAAAGTCCAGCCTCGCAATAATGCCCTCACATCCTGACTGTTCATCTAGTAGAGCTTAATATTAAAGGCAAGACTGAATACAGGGGCTGAGGACGTAGCTCAGTGGTACAAAGTGAACTTATGCGTGAGTGGTCCTGGGGTCACTCCCAGTGCTCTGTCCTCCCTAAGATGAAAGCAAACATGAATTTTTAATATTATTTGAGAAGACACAAAGAGAAGCAATCACCTATATCTCTGAAAAATCTCAGGGATTATGTAATAAGAACACAGAAAATTAAGTGCTTGCTTTATCCAAAACTTACAAAACGTGGTGTTCATGAGTTTCTGAACTTTGGAGTTCACTCCTCCTATTCGGTATAGGCCTAAAATGGTGATGCCTAAAGGGAAGGAAAATCACAAGAAAACAGCCTGAGAAATAGCTTCCCAAGTACAGAACATTAAAATCCAAGACATACGCCTTGCCTGTACAGAATCAGAAAGCTACTTAGCCAATTCTGCAGTTCAACCTTAGTAAGCTTATGCCAGAAATACCCGTCAGACATGTATTTCTCAGAGGGGACACTGGGGACACTGAACAGTGATTTGAAAGTCTTTGAAGATCTTCAGGGTAGCAACATAAACCTGCCCATTGACCACTATTTTGAACAGAAAAGAATCAAAAGCGGGAAGAGGTGACCAGTATTCCTCATCTTCTATTTCTTCACGTCATGGAGTCCTGCAGCTCGAGCAGCTCTGTTTCATTCGTATCTTCATTGTAAAGGCAAGCAGACAAGATTCAGAGAATTCAAGGAGCCCACTTAACTTCTCAAAGCTTCCAAGTGACAGCACCAATTTTCTGAAAGTACGTTTACAGAGCTCCAAGGTTACGATGACTTTTGCTTTAAACGAGTTTTTCTGGAAGTGAGACTATGTAACTGGAGTGGGCTTCAAGACAGGTGTCATGATCAGAAGAGGGAAAAGGGAAAAAAATGGACAGTGACTGAAATCAGTAAGGGGAAAAAAACTGAGTAGGAAAAGAAACGGAAGACAGGCCACTTAAGAATCTTACTTGCCTCCCCACTACTTGAAAAAACTTAAAAAGGTGCTTACAGTAAAAGATAATACATGGCCCACCAGTAAGAAGTCAAGTGAGGGCCGATTAGGAAAATTTATGAAAGCAGTAGTATAATTCTTGGTAAACTGAAGTTCACAATATAGGTATCTGTGTGTTTATGTAATTTATACGTTATAGCATTCTTAAAATTAATCTCATGTTAATACTCAAAAGTACAGAGCCATCATTTTCTACTCTGAGATGTGGGTATGTAAGAGTGGGACCTAGGATAGCAACAGTGTGCCTACCAGGTGACACTCACCTCTTGTTTCCACAGCTTGGATGCATTTTCTCACAAAGTTGAACCCTGCTTCATTCAAATACACTGAAAGTAAGAGACGATCTGTTAAATGCGGTGAACTTCCATCCCCCTTTCAGTTGGCTCTGCTCACTGTGCCTTTAAGACCTAACAGCATAGGGGAATTCTGGCGAGGGTCTTTCTTTCATCTGGGGTAAAAGTAGAGCAGGGGGCTCACGCTCACAGTAACGTATTGGTCTGCTCACTGGGGAGCACAGATGCTTCTCAGATGGTCTGCTATACCGATTCTGCCACCTTTCCCTAAAACTCCAATACCTGCCCCTGTTTGTTTTTCTAGATGACAGAAGCAAATGCAGTAACGAACCTTTATGGTGTGTGCAAAGTTGTAATGAATAAAGGCTTTCATAGATTCTTTCCCATGGAACTCTCAAGACACCATGAGAATCTTCAGACAATTCACTGGCTAATGAAAAACGTCACCTCTCTCTGTCCTCAGGCCTAGACTGGGTTCAACGTGGCTCTGCCAAGTCCAAGCCCAGTGCTGTCTAGGCAGTCGCTTCCTATTCAGTCAAGTATGCTCAGTCAGTGCAAGAAAAATTCCCCAAAGGCCCGAGATTATAAAATAGCATATTATTTTCATTTTTGCTAATTTTCTTTAAATTTATTTTAATTTTTTATGATTGTAGGGCCAAGATCAAATTAAATTACTTATAGAAGAAAAAGCATTTAAGAATACAAAGTAACACCTAGAGAAAAAACTCAGAAAATCTTTGTACTATAATGAACATTTTTATCACATATGGTAGAAATAAATTTTTTTTTAAATATTCTAAATCAATAATAAATGAATATAATTCAAACCAATAAAAATTTAAGACTGGCTTCCATTAAAAATGGTGACTAATGAAAGTAGAAGAGGAACTATTAGGGAAGAGGAAGGGGACCTGGGAAGGACATAAGAAGTAATGGGGTGAATGTGATCAAAGCACATTGTGTACATGTGTAAAAATGTCACAATGAAAGCCATTATTTTGTATAATTACTATACACAAAAATAAGAAAAAATGGTGGTTAAATACATTTGTGTGGTTCAACACAGATCCACAGGCAAAAAGTAGACACCGAAAAATATGATTAAAGTCAGGAAAATAATCAGTGACAGATTAAAACACAAAGACATCCTTGACGGAGAAAGTCAGTGGGGCTGGGATGAGGCTCAAGAGGTAGAGCACTGCCTAGCAAATGAGTGACCCTGTTCAAACCCCAGTACCAGCAAGGAAAGGGAAGGAAAGGAAGGAAGGAAGGGGGGAAGGGAGAGAGGGAGGGAGGACAAGCTTGCCCACTTTAAAGGCTGGGGACTGGTTCAAGTGGTAGAGCACCTGCCTAGGAAAACCAGTAGAGGTGAACTGATTAACAAATTCGAGAAATTTTGAATTTTGTGGCCCCAAACCAAGAGACAGTGACATGGAAGGCTATTATTAGGACATTGTGAGCTATTTTATCAAAATGCAGAAAAATGAAACTATAAATGTTTCTATTATCCTAGGAAAAACCCCATAAAGATGTATGCAAACTGTCATTAAGGAAAAGAGGACTGGAAGTATTAAAAAGTCATTTTTATTCACTGAACTTCGGAATTATGCGATAATTTTAAAGTATATGCTGGGTGCCAGTGGCTCACACCTGTAATGCTAGCTACTCAGGAGGCAGAGATTAAGAGGATCATGGTTCCAACACAGTCCTGGGCTGGCTTCAGAAAAACCCATCACAAAAAAAGGGCTGGTTCAAGTGTAAGAGTGGAAGCATGAGGCCCGGAGTTCAAACTCCAGTTCCACCAAAACAGTAAAAGTAAATTTAAAAAAGTATATAGTTAGCACTTGAAAAATAATTAGAAATAAGAACGCCTATGCTAAAATATGTGTGGCTATCGTCAGAAATTGGCTCATGTGTTTCTTTGCTCTTGGTATCCAACGTCAAGACAACAGAAGAGAGTGGACGCTCACAGTGAACTCCACGCAGAGCAAGAAGGGGCCCCTGGATGAGTCACCTTTCATTAGAGGACCTGCATGAGAATGGAGCACATTTTGGGCAGCAAAAGGGATTGTTTGCTTCCAATAACTCAAAGCATCAGGCACAACATTACACATGTATACTTAAAAATAACAAGCACAGGAAATATGCGATGGTGAGGCGAGGAATCTCTTATCCATTGTCATTTGGTAACCACAACAAAACCTAAGACCAAATGTAATCCTCGGTAAAAATGATAGACTAGCATTTTGTATCAATTAAAACTGTAAGTCACTGACACTTAAAATAGTAGTTGAGATCACATTTTTCAACTTTTCAATAAAGAAAAGATTTATTAACAGGAAAAGGTTATTTTAAAAATTTCAATGAAACATGCCTTTGACAAAATGAAAGAAGATAGTTGTGATATATAAAAATATAATTTTTTCTTAGATGTTCATTTTGAGAAAAATAAGCAGTAACCAGGCATCTCTAAGGTATGCTGAGGTCTTTGGCTGTGATACCAGTCTGCTCTGAGAAACTGGTACTGCAGGTGGGCTCCTTATGTAGCATAAAACCTTACTAAAGTCAGTTGGTACAACTGCAAGGCCATTCACAGATGTTGCAGTCTTCACCCCATGCATCTCGAACTTGGCTTTCTTTACATGAGTACATGCATTGTTATCAGTCAGTTCAGAAATGTGGCAAGAACAATCAGGCATTTTCATTTGTTGCCTTTGACCATCCTTTTGCTGTGTCTCAAAGAGCAGTTCTATGGTGCTGAGACAAGGCCCAGTTTGTTCAGAGCCAGGGGAACTGGGGTTGGTCCTTGCTCTAGCAGTACTGCTGTATGAATGGGAGCATGTCGAGTAACTTTTATGAATGAGTGCCTTTATTTTATAACATGAGGGAAGTGACAGAAATGTAACTGCACACCTATAATCCCAGCACCAGGGACGCAAAAGACTGCAGACTGAGATTGCTGACCCCCCAAATTTGCTGCCCTTTCCAGCAGGAAGATTATAGGTCTCAGCACCCTGAAGACAAGCTTGGTGATGTCCTATATACTGCTTAATGAAGTAAGAATGAAAGTAACATATGTCACTACCCAGCAGACACCAAGAGTCAGTATGTGCCTGGCTCTGTTTTCATTTGTCACCAAACTAGATCAGCAGTGACAAAGAAGGCTACTCTATCCATGAGTTTCAGAGTGAACACAACGAGAGAGCCACTGCTGACCTACATGGACAAGTACTACAAACAAGATCAGAACCTTCACTGCTGCGGCTTCAGAGATCTGAGGATCTGCCTAACCTGTGCAGTTCTAATCCAACTATGCACAACTTAAACAATTTGCTGTGGTGACAAGGATTCAGAAAACAAAGGCAATCTTACACATTAGCTTTTCCTTCCTTAACTGGAAAACAGCCCTTTTTTGTCTAATTTTATCAATTCACACAATAAAAGCAGCCCAGAGAAGAGTAGCCGCGACCATTCCTGGCAGCTTGGCAAGGCTCTCCTCAGCAGTGCCTCTGTTGAGGTGCGAGAGGAAGACAACATGGCTTAAAGGGGCTGTCTCCTGCTGAGCACGGCAGTTACCCTCACTCTGGGGAAGGCAGAGGCAGGACGATTTCAAGCTCAAGGCCAGCCCGGACTACATACACAGCAAGACTGTCTCAAAACAAAACAAAACCAGTTTGCTTCTCAGTGACTTCACGTCACAAGTCCTGCGATTTCTTAGGAAAATCAGAGGCAAGACCCATGTGAAGGTACTGTATTCAGTTTGTCAGCGCTAATGAAAAGTCAACCGAAGTAGGTTTTCTATCCCCTAAAAAGAGAAAAACTGCTCTTCCTTAGTGGACAGATGAGGAAATGTTACTAATAAATCAAAACGCACCCTTCAGAAGAGCGAAGTTTATCCTAATTCCCCTTCAGTGAAGATTCAGTGCTCCTGTGCAACAGTAAGGAGAAGTGGTGCCCATCCTATAAAAAATAAGTGTGGATCATTGAATCAGTGATCCATGGCTGCTCTGAACTCCAAAAGCAGTCTGAATGACGGATGGCTTGCTCAAGTGCCTTCTCTGAGGGCCAGATCACATCCTGCTAACAAAGCTGCTTTTGTGAGCTCTCCCCAGGCTTGGCCTGTCCTCCAGCCCCATGTCTCCCTGTTTTAGAGAAGGCTGGAGGGACATTCAGAATCCAACTGTTACCAAATTCCCAGGAATTGAAATTATGTAGTATTAATGTTATTTGGTCTCCAGGGGTAGAAGCAGAAGACAGACTAACTTAATAAACATAATTCATTCAATCAAAAGTTAAGTTTAAACATTTTTCCCTCCAGAAACTGTTTAGGGCTACAGCTTTTATTGAAACCCAAATAAAGTTTCCATAAGGCAGTTTAGCAGCACAAAAGCTATTAATCTCAACAGAATTCAAATAGCAGTGGCGAAAAGAAAAAGAATGGCATTCTGCAGAGTCAACAAAACAAAAGTCCTCGTACTCTCAATTTCCTACTGATTCAAAAACCTACCTTGCCCTTACAGATGTAATCTACACTGCCTTACACCACATTCTCAGGGTTGACGAAACAAAGTGATGCTCATCTTTAATTTCTCATTGCCTGTTCTAATCTGGCATTTCAGATTAGAAGACACAGACGTCTAATTATCAGACTAACTGTGGCATTCATTTCTGTGAGTGCATTTGTTGGTGTTTACAACACCCACTGGACCCTTCTTCTTCTTCCTGAAGGATAGAGTTAACACTCCACAGCACTGGCCCACATTAAATGCCTTCATCCTGCTCTGCTTTTAAGGGGCACTTGAGCTAGGACCCTCTGTGATAGAAACAAAACTGTACCTGATCAGAGGTCTAGGGGAGGATGTGGGAAGGACAGTGATGCCTTGGATGCCTGAGAACTTCTAAACCAAACCATCTAAACAGCAGCACAAAACCCAAGAACATCCGTGACAGATGGCGACTGCCTAGAATAAGAAAAATATGCTTAATTTTTCTATTTGTTGCTGGGAAGAACACATGCCCTAGACACACACAGTCACTGAAACAGTGGCTAAACTTAAGGTTGTTCAGAAACTTCAAAATTATCTTCGGCTCCAGTCCCCTCAGTTTTCTCTGAGGATTGAATGTCAGGGGGGCTTCACCGTTAGACAACTAGCGTGTTTTTCATTAGTGGAAGCATCAAGTCAAAGGACTTCCTTCATCTTATTCACAACACCTGTAATACAGCAGGTGTGTGATGCCACAGAGCTGAATGGACTGCACCAATGACATCTAAGGACCTCTTCTTCCACAACTATCACTCTGTCCAGAGGCAGCGTCGAAGGACAAGCCAAAACGCCATCACACAAAACTCACGCTTCAGCAGAAACAGGGCTCATGGTACCAACAGAGAATGCCAGAGAAAAAAAGCCAGGAGAAAAATTAACTTTTTGCCATTGTTAAAGACCAGTCCTAAGACAGAGATTTGGGGACAGGAAAGGTATGTCAAGAAAGATGATTTGTTTCCTTGAAAGATGAGTTCAAATGGCAGAATTATGAAGAATTATCAGTGAGCTATTTTTTTCAACAAAATATTCTAATGGCACAGCTTGAGGACTGATTTAACTCTAATCTCAATTGGATGGCCCCTGTTCAGTATTGATTACAGATATTACTGCCTTCAAAATGAATTAGTCCCCAAAGTCATATAATTCAAGAAAATAATACCATAGCATATCTTACAACCAGAAAAGTATTTGTAGACTCAATATCCTGCAATTGCCCATTTCTTTTTGGTTTGTTTATTTTTACAAGATACTTTTTCATAAAAGTATTCAAGCTTCCCTTCTCTGTGGAATTATACGTTCCATTTATAGCACTTGGAAAATGGTGAATTAAGAGTCCCACAAAGCAGGGAGATTTCCCATGGTGGTTTGTGAAGGATCCCATTACTCCACTAGCACAGTACTGGGTTCTCTTCCTCCTGTGTTCTACCTTCTCTGTATCTTCATGGCTTGGCTCTGTTTAAGGGCACTCGGTAGTTCTGACTCTCTTTTTTGCTCTTAGGGTTCTCAGTGAAAGGGCGGGCATTATGAGCATCATAGCTACCATTCAAGAAAAGTCTTTTACCCGAATTTTACATTTCACCATCTTAGAGCTCATTATCTTTAGCAATGTCAAAACCATAACCACATGCCATGAAAAACTGAGTTTCCAGAGGGTAATAAAAACATTTAGGAAAAACAAGAATGCAGCTGAATGACAGAGGTGGTAATCAAGCTGGCCTATGAATCAAGGCTATTACTGGCTTCAAATACCAAGTATGAGAGACGTTAACACTGAGAATCACAAATACCAATTATGAGAGAAGTTACATGCTGACACTGACAAAAATGACACTTTCAGCTAGAGTTGAGCTGAATAAAAAGGGACATGAGATGTCAAAATCAAGAAAGGTGGTAGAGGGGTGAATGAAATGTAAACTACTACTTGATGAGCTTGCAGGACTTACTCAAGACTTACAGAGTCTGAGAGCTTCATAATCATGCGGACAGGATTTTAAACTGAACGTGTTTTAGAAGCACATATTAAAAAACCCGAGTCAGGGGTAAAAGGTGGCAGACGATTAAAGAGTCCTCAGAACATGGTGAAAAACACAAACTGTGTTTATAAAGAGTGCTTCCATACTAATGACTCAGGAATAACACTGTGAAAACACATTTTCCTACACATACAATCTCCTAAAACCAGCAAAGAGTGGTATGTCTTCAGCCCTGTACTTCTAAGAAAAAGTAGGGGGGGAATAAGATTGAGCAGTCCTGAATTATCATAAAAAAAATCAAACTGAGTATCAACTGCTTGTCATCTCTACTGGGGATATGTGAGGTCATATATATAAGTAGACAAAAGCCAAGGAGATAAAAGTGAATTTTGCTAAGTGTAACAGAGGCATAGTTTCTCATTTTGCCATGAGAAATGTCTTCAATTCAGGATTTCAAATTTGCTGTCCCACTGGATCTATTTCCCCAGAGTAAATACCCAATATCACAAAATAATTTGTGATTAAAAAAACAACTGATAAAATTTTAAATAAGCCATTAAAATGACTTGCTTGGGCACATATCAGAAAGGGAGCTCCCCAGCCCTTTCCTGAACCCACAGGGTTTTGACACAGCTGAATGGAGAGGTCCTCCTGCTCCCTGCCATGCCCGGGGAGTCCTGCGCTCCCTACACACAGCGCAGAGCAAGCCTCTTCTCAGACCTAAGGGACCACCTCTCCTCTGACCCTGGGGAGAAGCAAAGATGCCCAAACCTCCTCTTCTCTTGTGGTCTGTGAAGGGCTAGCTGGTCCTTTTCCACAAAGCATTAGGAGTGAGAGTGTTCCTTCAGGTTTCATTTGGGAGAGAGAATGGAGTAAGCAGAAGTGAACTGTACCCACAAGAGTGAACTCTGACTCAGGATGTTCCTTTGAGTGTTATCTAGCTGTGAAGAAATGGAACTTTGGTTTTATTTTTGGCTCCTTCCAAGAGGTAAGCCAGAAAGTAGAAAGGATTATTTCTGTTTAATAGCAGAAACTATTTTCCAAACTCAAATACGTGAGGTCTCCACACTTGAAAATCTCTTAGCTGAGTCAAGAGCTAGGACCTGTTCAAACAAATAAAAGTTTGTGAAGGAAGAACATGACTTACTTTCTTCTTTCTTGCTAATTATGGCAGGCAGGGTGTAAATCTGAAAAACAAAGGATGTCAATCAGTTTCTTGAGTCAATGACCTGGCACAGAAGATTGGCAAGGTGGTATTTGTGCACTGAAACAGGGAGTTGCCCGGCTTCACGGTCCTGCGACTGCTGTGTCCAGGGCACCATCTGTCCATCTTGCCAACTGCCCCCCTCTGCGCTGAGAGCCACCTCACCCCCCTACTCCTTTCCATCCCCGCATCTTGCCCTGGGCCAGGTGCTAGCACTTTCCACGTGCCTCACGCATGCCCTTCTCTCTCCTGCAATGTGATGACATGCTGTGCTCCAGAAGTCTCTCCGAGTCCCGCAACAGATCGAACCTGCCTGGCCTTCCTCACTTGACCTTCTTACTGCTTTCTTTTCAATGTGCATAATCCTAATTTAGACATGGCTGAGCTAATAAACTAACACCTGAATCTGCTTTAGGTCAGGGCTTCTCAACCACTTGTGATCAAGCGACAAATTTTAAAACTTTAAAAAAATCTTTCATTGACATTTTTGTACAATACAGTAAAATTAAAAGAGAAGGCAATAAAGAATAGAGGCAGAGCTCAGAGTTGTTATTATTAAATTCAGGAGACTTAAAATGACTCCCTCACATGACAAATGAACTCAAAATGACAATTTTCTCAAGACCCAATCATAATCTTCTCTGTGCTTGTCTTATTGTGACCTGGGAACCCTGTTTGAGGGAAGGCCTCCAAGTCTGTAAACTGTGCTATGCATGAAACTACTCCTGCACTGGAATCTCACTCAGGCTTGTTTATGGGTCTTGTGCATCTATGGAAGGTCCTGAAGTGACAGAATGGCACCTCCTGCTCACTCTGTGTGCTCTCCCACTAAGGATGCAGTAAGAATATTCAACAAGAAAATAAGCAGTAGCCACGAATTGGTGGCTTATGCCTGTAACCTTAGCTACTTGAGAGTTTGCCATGGGGAAGATCAAGGTTTGAGGCCAGACTGGGCAAAAATTAGCAAGACCTTATCTCCAAAATAACAAGAGCAAAATGGATTGGAGGTGTGGCTCGAGGTAGAACACCTGGTTTACAAGTATAAAGCCCTGAGTGCAAACCCCAGTCTCACCAAAAACAAACCAAAGCAAAAACAAAAACAGGGATGGATGATTATCTTCTGTTTTACATAAATCTCCTAGTATTCACAAGAAAGTTATGATACCAAGGTGAAAATAACTCCTGAAATGAAGATATGTATGGAGGGGAAAATGCCACACCACTCATTATACTTTTTACAAACAACCTGGGCTAGAGGACCAGTCATTCCTCAAACCTTGTTCTTTACTCTGATCACAAGGCTAATGCAGGCCCTGCAAACCCTGGACATGTAGTAGTTACTAACTGAATAAAATGATACAATGAATTCAGTTAAACTAATGACTGTAAAATTTTTTTAGGAAATTTTAGAGTTTTAAATTAGTTCTGGAAGTCCCCTGAAAAACTAATGACAAGGTTGGAGTTACATGCCAGAGACTGAGATAACACTAGGAACCCAGAACAGCCACTGCTCCTCTGGACTTAATATTTTAATATTTTTCATTACACGAAAAAAATTTCAGATGTACTTTGTAATCTTTAGAACAAAAAAGCCTAAAGTGTAGAATAGACTGTATCATGTTCTTACCGGTTCCTTTCCATCCATGGCTTCAAGCCAGAGCTTTCTGTTAGCTTCAGAGAAAGCCTGCAATGTGATAATTCCATGCCTATCAAAAATAATTATTTTATACATTAAATTAAATTTATTTCCTTTATGCCTTCACACATTTACCAATTTCTAAATCCTTAAATATAAAGGTAAACTGTGAGGAAAAAGAAGGGAAGAGAAAAAAGAAATAAGAAAAGAAAAAAATCAAAAGAAATATAAGGTTTGATATACAGATGCCTCAAAAACATCACTGTCAGGTGGGCGGATTGGCTCACGTGGTGGAGTGGCTCACGTGGTGGAGTGCCTGTCCAGCAAGCTCAATACCCAGTACCACAAAAAAAGAAAAAATCATTATGGATATACACACACACGTTTTAATTTTAATAGCCACAGGTAGGAAGGTCATGAGGTATTTTAGGTACAGGACTGCTGAAGGGACTAGTTTTAAGATACTTGCCCTGAAATGAACAAAAACGATGACCTGAAGTTCAAAACCATCTGAATATTCCACAACCTGAGAATGGTGCAGCTTATGACCCTGCTGTAGTGCGATCTAGGCACTAAAAACAGTATGACGAGTGTGTAGCACTGTGGGAAAGGAGCACCTAGACCCTAACTGATGATTAAGAATTCACCAAGAAAAACAAGCTTTCGCTACACCATGGTCTCAATATTAATTAATTCACTTAAAGACAACCTTCTCCACTGCAGCCATTCTGAAAGAGTTATTAAAGGATGTATTTCAGGAGAGAAAGAACTCAGTGCAGCTGAGAACCAGCATCAGAAGATATGAAATCTACACACAGTAATTAACCAAAATAAATGGGAAATTAGAGGACACCCATGAAGAAGAATGCTGGGAAGAAAATATTATACACACTGCATGATTAAAAACCTGGCATGCCTTAAACTGATCACAAATGACCTACATCTCTTCTGCAAATAGGAAAATAGATATTAGAGTGGCAGGAAAAGGAAAATGTATGTAAAGATCACTTTGTAGCCCAGGCTGGTCTCAAACTCATGATCCTTTTGCCTCAGCCTTCACAGCGTTGGGATTATGAGTGTGTGCCACCACAGCTGGCTTGATACTGCAGAGTTTAAGGCGGGGTCATTGCACCAATAACAAGACCTGTAGTATCAGTCCATAATATTTGCTAGCTGTTTATGTGTTTCATGTGTCAGTCACTGTGTTAGCATGTTTCCTTTATTATCTCATGTAATCTTCATGAAATTTGGAGGTGGGTGCTTATTTTCTTATTTTGTAGATGAAATAACTAAAGCACAGAGTTTAACAACGCACTCCAAGTTCATTTAACTAGAATATGCTGAAATAAAATAAAGGGAAATACTAACACACTGGTACTTGTCTACACAGAAAGCTCATAAGTCCCTACTACAAAGCAAGTCTGCTGGATGTGATATTAACATATAAAGTAAAATAACAGAATCACTGAAAAAAATCCACTCACGAAAAGAAACCTATTCAAAAGTAGCCTATGATGAGACTCAGAAGATTTTCTGAGCTGTGAAAGTAAGTGGAATTATGATTTGCTTTTTTCCTTAGATAGTTACTAATTTTTGTTTAAAATAAAACCATCAGTTCTTAAAATGTTCACACTCAGCAGTTCTAAGATTTTTATTTTAATTGATGACTCAGAACACTTCTTTAAAAGAAAATGTGTTTGTTTTAAGGTAATTTTTTCTGCTGCTCCGTTCATTGTAAAAAATTTTTTTCTGCAGATAAAATTGAAAGACTTAGAAAAAAAAAGGTATTGAAAAATAATTCTAAAGACAGATTTGTGAAATCTTTAAGAAGAGACTGACTCTGCACCAATTACTTAATAACTTTAGTGTAACAACAATTAAAATTACAAAGTTGTTTTTTTTTTTTTTTAACAAAGGTGTGTGGGGGACTTAATAAGCAGATTCTGAAACTTGTCAGAACACAAGATTAAAATAGTTATCACAATTGTAAAGAACCATAGAAGGGGCCCTGCCCTACTAGCTAGTGAGAAGCTGAGGTATGTGAGTATATGTAACTTGGTGTAGAGCACACAACAGTGCTAGGCGCACACACACAATAAGAAGATGGACTATTTACAACAGTACAGCAGTAGTGCAGAAGAAAAAAGATCACAGATCACAGAGCAGAGAGCTAGAAGCACCCCCTGCTGGCACTGGTGTGGTAAAGATTCAAATACCCCTAGATTCAAACTCAGATCCATCCTGTGGCTAAAATGCTCAGGCAGTGCTGTGTACACGGTAGGTCTCCTCGAGGTACTGAACTCCCAGCTGGGGAGTGTTCCCTCTGCTGTCTTCCTGCTCCTTGGAAGCAAGGCCACCAGGCTTTAAAAGCCTACAAGGTGAGTCCTGTGGCCATAAGAGTTGCTGCCAGTTCTCTCACCGTGAGGGGCTCAAGTCTCTGACATGTATTTTCTCTCATATAGTCATTCGAACTGATTTTTCCAGGGCTTTCTCTGAAGTTACTTTCTGCTAGAATTCTGCATGATCTGTTTTCTATTTTAAAATATTCATGCAATACATATTTGTTGCATTCATATGTAAAAGAATGAAATAAATATGTGTATTATTCCTTAAAAGACTGAAAGACACTTTTATGCTATTTCATGTTTATATCTAGACATAGAAAGAAACAGTGATGGCTTAACACATTTAAACAAATCAAGTGAAAAGAGAAATCAAACCTCTCGACTACTTCTATGTCAAAGCAGAACCTTTTGTCAATGGAATCTGTCTTTCGTCGGATACATGACTTTAATTTAAACATTTCCGGTGAGCTACTCACAAGGCCATTCTGAAACAAGAAAGGTAGCATGTTATTAAGGAAACAAGATGACAGAAGACACATTAAACACACGACCTGAAGTTGCCAAAAAAAACCCGTTAACTCAAGTTCTGCATAATAATTACAATTGCACTGTCCTTTTTTTATCCTTTCTTGGGTTAACTATGCAATTTCAACACATGAATCTATCTTAGTCAACTGCATAGCCATGTTTTACTTCAAAGAACTCTGTGACATCTGTCCAACACCCTTCCTTCATATTTACCTATAATGCAAATGTACACACACTTAAGACTTCAAATTTCAAAAGGTATGAAATTATATTATGTGATATCATAACTGGATGCATAGAATGCTTGTTAGGATATAGCACTGCTGCTCTTACTCTAAATTTCCTATAGTAACAAATAACACAAACTTTAAAAAGTAAAAAGAAAAACTCCCTAGATTGCTGAGAGGTGAGTATCAAGTGAGTGTATCTTTGTATTAGAGCCTTATTGTATTACGATAGCCACCTCAACAGGACAAAGAGCTACCAAACGATGACGTTCCAGTACACACTTCCTATGGTGCTCTTGCTAGCACACACGGCATGGGACAGGTCTGCTGATGACCATCTGCTAATAAAAGTGAAATTTTATGGATGAGATTAAAGCTAGGCCCAAATTGCAGGCCTAGCAATTTGTGTGTGAAATGCCAACCTATTTCAAGAGGAAAGTTTGCCCGATGTCTGGTTAATTCTGTCTTTGATAATAAATCTCATAGGCTTATTAACAGAGCTTTGGTTGATCTGTTGACACTATTAACTCTCTGGTTTATCACATAAGTTGAATTTCTGGTAATCACTACTCTAGAGTAGAAACCAGCTGTGATATGGCACTTAATAACTTTTCTCGACAGTGGTAATCTAAGGTTTCTTTGTCTCTAGTGTGGTCTCCTTTCTTTTATGTCTTTCAGCTTGAATTATTAGACTGGTGAGTGCCCAAGCACAGTAAGTTTTACTTGACGTATGGAATATGTCACTAACATAATCAGCATTTACACCTGCCATGATCTACACCATAAATTAGCTGGCGAGTCACTAACTTTCCAGAAAAATTATTTCCTGATCTGTTAAAATAAGGTTGGACTAAAGTATCTTTAGGATAAATTCCAGCTCCAGGATTCTTAGATCATGGCCTAATGATGTAACTTATAAATTCAATTATTTGTCACGTTCGTATCTTAACTCACAAAAGGTTACACACTACATGTAATAAAGATCTTGCCAGCATTTCTTCAAATAAAGGATACTGTGTCTTAACTGATGAGAGCCCTGCAAGACTCCAGTGAGAATCAGGTGGTTTCTTCAGAGAAACTGATTGGCCAGCATTTTGGTGCAGAGTACTCAGTGCAGAGAGGCAAGGGCACGGAAGGGCCAACATAGTCTCCCAGAGGTCACCTGGGGAGGATCCAGAGCCCCTGAGCCTGGTCCAGCCACTGACACTCCCTTTTTGGGCTGTTGGCCAACCAATAGCACAGTCCACTAACTCTGCTGCCAGGGACAGGAGGTGATACCTTGGTAATCCACTGAAGACTCCCTACATTGAACTCAACTGTCAATAAACATTTCATGGCCAAGATAAAGGAAAACCATGGCCACTTAAGTCATTAAGGTCTCTGAAATGAGAGGAAGCCTTCTGACTTTCAATTTTTAAAGATGTGTACATGTTATAGAAAGGTGTGCACGTATTTGTTTTATTTTCATTACTTCCATAATAACCACATTTTTTTTTTAAAAGAACAAAACCCAAAAGTAACTCACCATTTTCCCACTGGATTTCACTTCTGAAACACTCATTGTAAATGTTTTACTTCCCTTATCATATGTACAATAATGTTTAATCCATGTGAAACCAAGTGGGCCTAAGGAAAGAAAGCAGAAACATTTTTTAATTTAATAAATACTTTGCACACTGATACACAATTGACTATCTCCACATTCCCTGGTAGCTTGGGGCAGTTTCTGTGAGAAAGGCCAGGATGAGGATGTGGTGGGGCACAGACCCTTGGATCAGACACCCGGGCTGTACCTGCAGCTCCACTGTGACCCTGGAAACTCCTGAGTCAGTTTACATCCGAACATCAGCCACCTTATCTGTGAAGTGGCACAGTCAACCTTTGACACCTACAGCCAGCCTTCCACACCTACAGTCTTCCACACCTACAGCTAGCCATCTATACCTACAGCCTCTGGATCCACAGCCTGGACGACAGCACTTTGAAAATATTTGGGAAGCAAACTGCACCAGTATAGAACATGCACAAACTTTTTCTTGTCATGATTCCCTAAGCAACGCAATATAACCGCTCGTCATACCACATTCACACTGTACTCGCTATTACAAGCAATGCACAGATGATGTCAGTGTGTGGTGACAGGACTGCATAGGTTCCATGCAAATGTTATACCACTTTATGTGAATGACATCAACATCCATGGAATTTGGTATCCGTAGAGGATCCTGAGGGACTTGTACCCCATCAAGGGAGAAAGAATTAGAAGTCATAGCTCTACTTGAAAAAAAAATGGTTTCCTTATCCTTGTTCTCTACTCTGAAAACTGTTGCATATCCAGCTACAAAATAAAATAGCTAGGTCATGTCACTCCTTTGTTTGGAACCCTCGAGGGCTTTCTATCTCACTCCAGTTAAAACCCAAAGAGACTATTTCCGCCACCCCTGCATAATTTGGACCCTTGTTCTTTTTCTACTGCCTCTGTCTCCTACATTGCTCCAGCTGTGCTGCCTCCTTCCCTGGTCCTAGTTCAGAGGTGCATTCCTACCCCAGGACACTTGTATGCCTTGTTTTCCTTTGGATATCTGTGTGACTTGACTGTCACCTCCCTCCCGTCTTCTCTTAAATATCACCTTTGTGATATAGACTTGCCTAGGGAGATTAACCTCCCCTTGGCTATTTCTTAGCTCTTTCTTGCTTTCCTTTCTTCTTAGCAGTTATAATTCTTTAGACAATAAATTTTACTCCTTTATCTTAGGTACTTCTGTCTCTGCTATGAGACGGTACAGCTTTGTGAGAGGAGAAACACGTGATGCTCAGTGATTAGCATATTCTCAATCCTTCGACCATGGGCAGACATACAGTGTGCACTCAATAAACATTTGATGAATGAATAAAGGGACGAATCACTCATCTTCCTCTAAGGCCTCACTGACCTGGGAATTATTTCCTCTGACCACTACCCTGAAAGAAACAAATTCAAATTGCTCCTTGAAATGAAAGTAGTTTCCACCATGTATATTACAAGAAACTTGAATATTAGTGCTGGTTCCTTTCTTTGCCCCATAAACACTGTGCTACCTTTCCCTACAGCACACTGGGTCACAGTCCCCCATACCCCTTAAGGAAGTGGATGATGTCCCCACTTTGCCTGGAACAGGATGCACGGCCACTTCAACTTTTCCCTGGCCAAGGTGGAAGACCCTCAGTGCTCGCTCAGGGAAGCCAAATGCCACAGTGGGCTGTGGGGGCTGAGCACTGAGAGCTTGCTTTCGGTAAAGCTTCAAGTGGGGCCCCACCCCTGGATTTCTCTAGACAGCTACGCACAATGTTATTGGTGGCTTCATTCCAGAGCCACATATTTAAAAGCAAGAAATTTAAGTAAAAAAACTGCCGCTTGAGAAAAGTGTTTCAGGAACTTTTTGATTTCTTTTTCTTTAATAATTAGGACCCTTAGTGTCAAGTTTAACTTTAGTTAGTAGTTAAGCTGCTCCAGATTTAAAAACTACAGGGTGTAGCTGGATAGTCTGTAATCACAAAGGATTACTGCAATTGAGTTCAGTTCCATTTTGGGACCACCTCCTAGCACAATGCTTAACAATACTTGTTGATAACTCTGTTACATGTGATGTAACACACTTAAAGGCTTAGAGCTCATTAGTGGAAAACAGCTGGAGAGGAATTTCCAGTGACCCCAACTGGGGCAGTGATTTTTGAAGCAGTGTCAGCCATAGTTTTAAAATGCCCCAGTGGTATTTTAGATCTGACGTGTTTTTCTTCCCTCTACCTGAAGTTTGAAACCTTCTGCAGTTAATCACCAAGTTTGCCACACACACACTGCTGGCTTTCTGCAAAGCTGCCTGGCAGAAGGCCAGGGCAGATGTTCTTAGACAAGCAATTCTAATGTCCCCAAACCTGTCTGGGAAAATAAAAATTTATTACAGCTCCAAAGTCGCAAAATAAAGAAGTTTAGTTATCTTTCCCAGTGAACATCTCAGGTTTCTAGATGAGTATTTGAGGAGTGGGAAGGGTGAGAAGTCACTGACTACCTCCTGTGTGCCTCTGATTTATTTACGAAGCTTTCAGGTCAGACACGAAGAGCGTTCTATATAAAGACAGTTGAGCAGACCAGTTGGAATGGCAACATTTTCTTCAACAGAGATGTTCTTTTTAGCAGAATGATATTTTGCAGTTGTTCTGAGAATTTGATGAGGTAAGTGCACATTGCATAGAGTAGTAAGGGCACAATGGACACAGTATTATTTTAAATATCACCACTGAAAAAGACAGTCTATACCCACTATCTCCAATTTTCACAACAGCATTAAAAAATAAGCATAAATATTCCTCTTTAATGCAGCTGAAAAGAATGAGTTCAGAAAACTGCTTGCAGGAGTCACATGTGACAGGCAATAGACAGGGAATTCCAACAGAGTTATTTCTGTCTCTGGAACTCATGCCCTTCCTGGTGAAGCTCGAGTTTGTTAGAATGTAATTTACTGCAAGCCCAGAGGAGAATAACGTGAAAACCTCACATTCAGGTGAAGGAAGGTCAGTTCAGTGTCTAATCTACAATGATCTGCTTCTAGCCGTCACATCCATCACTCCTCCTCACTCTGCTTATAGCCCTGATATTTACTATTGATCACTGGCTGCTAATTGTGTGACTTTGTCTTATGCTTTCAACCACAAAAATACCCTGAAGCCAAATTCTTTATCCCATGTTTTGTCCCCACAGAACTTGTCCATTTTGTGGTAGCAAGTATACAAACAATATATCTTGCTGAATTTAGTGGTGAGATTTCCTCATTATTTATTGCTTTCAAAGATTCCAAGTTGGAAAGGCTTTGAATATTTACCTTCATATAAAAATGACCCACAAAGCATAAAAATATATTCGTTTTTCTGTTTAAACTCCTAGGCAAGAGGTGGGGGTGGGGTTAGAAGGTGGGAAAAACGGGGGCAGAGAGGACAATGGAGAAGAAAGAACTGAAGGTGACTTAATTTCACTATGCTGGATTGATAGTTGCAGCGGTGACTCTGTGTACACACAAAATCAGTGCCATTTATCATAGGTCAGTTATACAGCAATGAAGCTCTAAAAATAATGCAGGGAGACATACAGATGGAAACTGTGTTGGAGGAGGAAGGGAATATCAAAAGAGAGGTGATAATAAAAAGAGAGGCCATCCATCTGGGGACAGCCACATCTGCATCTTTGAAGGATGGATTGGGAGCTCTGCAGAGCTGGGGTAGAGGTGGGAAAGGTGGAAAGAAAACCTGGAGGTAGAGGGGAGCAGTGAAGAGGCCACTGCAGGGGGCGGGCTTGGGTAAAACGGTAGGGAAGAAGGAGAAGTGTGGAGTCAAAGGACATCAAGGAGAAGGAAGAGACAAATATGACCCCAGGCTATAGAGGGAGAATGGAGCTAAAAATTACCTTGAGAGAGTGGAAGATGTCATTGAGAGAGATAAAGAACCCTCAGAGGAAGGTTAGTACCACAACAGTTTTAATTATCAGTTCAGAAGGCCCAGAGGAGAAGCCTGGTTGGAAGCTTGCAACAAAAGATACTAATGTAAGATAAGTGCAGAGGCACTGCACCAAGTCCAGCCAGGCACCCACTCCTAGTCACTAAAGTACGTATAGGTGCTTGACCCAAGTGTGAAAGCCTGGGGACAGGGGAGCAAGACACACTATCACCCAAGCAGTGACTGAGTATGATATGTATGAAGAGCACATTCAAAATAATTTTGTTAGGTAATCTAAAACTTTATTTAGAATAAAATATGCTGTGCACCTACAAGGATTTGAGCAACCATATAACGTCTAGAAAAGAATTCAAGAAATGAAAAATATGGGGTCAAAATGGGGAAGAAATACTACATACTTGGATGGTACTTACTCAACTCCCACTGTATGTCTGAAGGACCCTCACCATCAACAAATTCTTCTACTTGACCAAATTCATCATTAATACAAAATGTGAGTTCTTCCCCATCTATCTTTGCACTAGCCTCTCAAGTGCAAAAGATTTAAAATAAATGTCTGAACATTTTTTTCAGAATCGCAGGCTCAATCTGTTCCCTGTATGAACCATGGATTGGCCAGTCCTCATGGCTAAGAGGTGAAAGGGATTTCTTATGCCTTAATTACAGAGTAGCTGGGAAGGTCGTTAGGATTTATCACTTGAAGATTTGAAAAGAGCAGAGCAGCCAAAGTCACTAGTTATGTACCAAGATCTCCTGAGCCACTGTTACCCTGCTTTCCAGACCACACCGCGGTGTTAGTCAAGTACGTCCATCAACCGCTGCTTGTGTGTACACTGGCAGTCAACAACTGGGCATTGGGTGGCCATCTCAAATGCAGAAGTGACTGGCATTTTCGTTACTATGCTGCAAATACGCCAACAACCATTCACAGCCAAACCAACATCTCTGGGCTTCCTCATCCCAAACCCTTTAGCTAAATTATTTCATCAACCAAACCAATGTCGCCACTCTTTCGGCTGCTGACGTGGAGACTTCAGAGCACTGCTTCTCCATGTGTGAATCAGTCCCAGGCAGTGAGAAAAGTATAAGAAAGAGGACAAGCATTTCAAAACTTTGTTGGCAATTTGATATTGCTGCAGAACCCAAGCATATGGCTTTCTGTCTTACAAAAACACTGGTCCATGATGGACCGAAGTAAAAATAATGGTTGCTTCACCACAACTCAAGGACAACGCTTCAAGGCATATCTGATCTGAAACAGAGTTAATTTTGTCAAAATGGTCAAACTGCTCCCACTTAATGACAAGTAACATGTAGAAAGGGACTCTAGTTACACAAGTTTAAATGGATTTTTATTCATTTTTGCAAGAAAAATTTTCGTAGTATGAGGCAATTATACTAGTGCTGTATTGGGCCTGGCACTTATTTTCCAACTCAGGAAGTAAAGAGTGTCAATGTGACATGGTAATTGCCAATACTTCTCCTGAAAACTGGCAGGGCACAGAATTAAAAGTAATAACACTGCTGAAAAGGGAATGCCTTACTGTATTCAACAGGATGATTTACCCTGAGAAGGGTTTTCATTTTCAATTTTCCCTGAAACCTTAAACTGAGACTGGGTGCCACAATTAAGTTCTAAAACTGAACTCGGGTTACTCTATTGTCAGTGAAGACTGCAAGCTCCAAGTTCAACAACACATCAACTTGGAGATCCTGATGCCCAAACTGGATGCTCCCCCTCACTTCTGACGGTGGCAGTGTTACATATGATAAAGCTAGAAGGAGCCTCGGCCTTCCACGTGAAGAAAGTGGTGTCAGCCATGTCACATGATACAGAAACAGCACGGCCAACTGTGAGAGGCCTGGGTTGTGAATGTGAGACTCACGCTTCTCCTGGACGTAGAGATAGCCCTCCATCGTCCACTGGCTGGGCGGCCTGTAGTCCTGGTTGGCAGATTTCATCCTCTGCATCAATCGCTCCACCTCTTGCCGAGTACTTTCGAAGTTATTCCTCGTCTTAGGCAAACAGAAACAACAATTTCACCTGTGGTTTTGCACCAGGTAAGAGGAACCTCCCGATTAATGTTTTCAAATTACAGGAAACCTTGACAATTAGGACTCCGTTCTTTGTCAGGTTTGACAGTGCAGAAACGGGTTGGTTAAAGGGTGTGTTTGTTGGTTTCTTTACTGTACTGTTGTTCAGCATTTGAAAATTAGAAACTGTATCTGTGATCAGATTTGGAACATATTTGCGGTGTGCTGAGAACTTTGTGCTATACTGATAGCACATCTCGAGTATCAAACAGTCATGTTAACTACACTCGCCATGCGGTACACTGATCTGCAGAACTCATTCTTCTGCATTTCCCAGTAAGTTAACAAGAACCCTGGGTGAAGGCAAACGTTTTCAACTTCTATGCCTGGGTAGCATCTACTTCTGTAAAATGTACTAGTACACATTTTTCTATCATAAAATTAGTTATTTTCAACAAAATTGGAGAAAAGGGCAGAGCAGGTTCTGCCTGGAAGTGAGGGGAATGGGGGCGGAAAGGAAGGGGGCAGGGGACAGGGGATAGAAATGGCCCAAACAATGTATGCACATATGAATAAATGAATAAAGAGAAAAAATAAAATTAGTCATTTTCAGCTAGAAGCTATGGGGGAAAATGCTGTAATTCATTCAGAAAGTGGCCATTATAAATTACTGAGGCTCTACTGGCCTTAAGACTTGGTTGTAACATGACTGCTCTGTGACTGTGGGCTCTGCTGAGGGGAACAGGCGTGTGAGAACAGGCGCAGTCTTACATTCTGCAGGTTGAACTGCAGCTGTTGCTTGTAGGGTGCAAATTCCTGGGCAAGTTCATATCCCTCGTGGTAAAAAGTAAATAAACCCTGGAGGAATGATAAAAGCTGCAAACAGAAAGAGATTAAACAGTATTGTGAAAACTTGTTTTCAAAAAGATGAACATCAGATGTAAAATATTAAGGAAATTATATTTTAATTCCTCCAACTAAAAATTTTCTTCCAATCTCTTTGTTTGCCAAGGCAGTCAACGGAATTATAGATTTGAAACAGAAAGCACAGAGCTAAATTTTTGTTTCCTTTTAGGTAGACAGGGACTTATTTTTTTAGTCTGATTACGACAGTTGTGTTGTTAACTTCTGAACAATTCAAGTGCGTTGAGGAAATACCATAAGAAACCCCAGATGAGATGAGCACCAAAGAGAAAAGCTAAGTCCCACGCAGGAGGAGCTTGTGATCAAAATGCTGTATGGCTGGATGTGGGGAGGGCCGAGCCGGGAGTCACAGGTCAGCGACCCCCAGGGAAGGAAAAGGAATCTGACAGAGGAGGTAAGAGGAGTTATCACAAGGGGGCAGTGCTGGCTTGGAATTGAACAAAGAGCACTTCACGAATCAGACAGCACAGGTCTTTGCTATAAAATCATCTAAAGAAAAACTTCCATTTCCCTGACTTTACCTTGTCACCTCAAATTCACCTGTGCTTCCTTATTACATTTCTATCTGTAAAGTAAGTCGGGCTCTCCACAGAATTGCGGGACGTGTAAGTTTACGTGAAATGCTATACCCAAAAATAACTGATCTAAATTATTTTCATCTGATCTGCTGAGATTTGACTCCACAAAGTTATGCACTCACTTGACCTTCCCTCAACTTCTTCCTGCAGTAAAGTTAGAAAATACGTTTGAGGAGAGGCTTGTAATGTGTCTGCAACTTCTTATTTTACACTAAGAAAGAAACACAACTTGAAACCGTTTTCATATGTGAGTAACAGTGCACCACTTCCTCCATCTGGGAGGTGACAACTGGTTCTGTGCTGTGATTTCCAACAGTTAAGTCCTACTTCCACTGGAAGTCAACTTCAGACAAAGTTATGGTCACTTCAGAAGGCTTATACTTCTCAAACTTTTTTTGTTGTAACTCAGTGATTTTTCTTTTTTCAACCGTTCCTAATATCACTACAAAATGTCCTGTTTGCCAACATTAGAATATGTTTTATACTTTTAGTTTTATATCAACTGATAAATACTACCAAAACTATTAAAGACATTATCCTAGCTGGGTGTAGTGGTACATGCCTATAATCCCGGCTCCTCAGGAGACAAACAAAGGAGGGTTGGGTTTGAGGCAAGCCCAAGCAGAAATTAGCAAGGTCAAGCTGGGTGTGTAGGGTGAAGCCTGTAACCCCAGCCATGTGGGAGGTGGAGGTAGAACAGCTACAGGCCAAAGTCGGCCTAGGGAAAAGTGTGAAACCCATCTGAAAACCAAACTAGAGGTAAAAGAGAGCTGGCTGAAATGGTAGAGGGCTTGGGCTTGGCTAAGTGCGAGGCCACAGTCAAGTTAAACAGATAGGTAGACTTTAAAATCCAAAGCAGACTATTTTAAAATAGCACTGCAGCACATCTGCCAAATGATCCAACAGGACATACGTAGCCTGCCTGAATGTGGGGGTGTGTGTGACTGTGTGTGAGTGACTGTGTGACCATGTGACTGTGTGTTACTGTGTGACTGTGTGTGTGACCGTGTGTGACTATGTCTGTGTGTGACTGTGTGTGTTACTGTGTGATTCTGTGTGTGACTGTGTGTGTGTGACTGCATGTGTCTGTGTGTAACTGTGTGGCTGTGTGTGACTGTGTGTGTATGACTCTGTGTGTGTGACTGTGTGTGACTATGTGACTGTGTGTGACTATGTGGCTGTGTGTGACTGTGTCTGTGTGTGACTGTGTGATTCTGTGTGTGACTATGTGTGTTACTGCATGTGACTGTGTGTGACTGTGTGTGTATGACTGTGTGTATGTGACTGTGTGTGACTGTGTGTGACTGTGTGGCTGTGTGTGACTGTGTGTGACTGTGTGTGACTGTGTGACTGTGTGTGCTGTGTGTGACTGTGTGAGTGTGACCATGTGTGACTGTGTCTGTGTGTGACTGTGTGTGTTAATATGTGATTCTGTGTGTGACCGTGTGTGACTGTGTGTGACTGTGTGTGTGTTACTGTGTGACTGTGTGTGTGAGACTGTGTGTGACTGCATGTGTGACTGTGACTGTGTGTACACACACTCATACTGTGGCATAAGTGAACCGAAGTGAAGCTGAAAACTGGATTAGAAATACATCTCACTGTACTTTGAGAAAGTAGATTTAGGCTTTTAGACAGAAATGACATAATTTTGAAACACACAGGTTCGTACTAGCCTCTGGACATCCTCAGTGGTATGAGGTGTTAGCAGTTTTGTTTTCTGTGTTGGCATCTGTAATTATCCCACAATGAATCTATCCCTTCATGAGTGAGATGCTACCTTAATATTACCTAGGCACAAAGGCTAATGAACTTTTAGTTCCAAGAACATCTGTGACAGCCAGGCACCGGTGGCTCATGCCACTTAGCTACTTAGAAGGCTGAGATCAGGGAGATTGCAGTTCAAGGCCAGCCCAGGCAAGAAGTACACAACACCCCATCTCTACCTATAGCTGGGCGCAGGGGTGCATGCCTGCAATCCAAGCTATGCAGGAGGCTGAGATCAGGAAGATTATGGTTCCAGGCAACCTGGGCAAAAAAAAAAAAAAAGTTGTGACTCCCTCATCTCAGCAGATGACAGGCAGTGTGTGCCTGTCATCCCAGCTAAAATGGGAGGATGGCAGGCCTGGGCAAAACACAATAAAACCTAGAATATGACCAAAAATTCTAAGTAAAGATCAGTGGTAGAGCTTAGACCCAGGAGGTTTAAGCTGTCTGTAAATTGCTCTAACCTGGCTCCTTGTTCCAGCCCTAAAGTCATGTGATGTCAACAGGTGGGACACATGAAGAAGATGCCAGGCGCACTCCTCTGAGCCAGGGAGGCCCCAAACAAGGAGGAGCCAGGCTTGCAAACTCTCCTGTGGAAGAACTCTCACAGGCACCCGGCTCACGTGTTAGATCCACTGTCATGTTTCCGAAAGCGTGACTCTGGCACCTCCATCTCACTCAGGTCACTCAACATCCTCAGCCTCAGTGAGGATGAAAATAAACCCGCCGGCGTCCTCCAGCCGGTCTCAGGTCCACTTTAGCAGGTCTGTGCTTTGCCTCACAAGGCACGCCTAGTGCCCTTTTAGGGAAGGTGCAATTCCAGAGAAAGTACCTAAAACCTTTTTGCAGAGAGCCACCCACCTTTGCTTTGTAAAGCAGCTTTTGAAGAAGCTTCACAGAGCTTGTGAAATAACTGCCTCTAGGGGGCAGCAGCAAAGTTCACCTGTTTAAACATGAACTTGTCCATTTCATCCCTGACAAATTCCATGTTAACCAAAGGACCTTAAGAACAGGACAGTCTAAAAACTTCTAAAAACTGATGTCCAGGTGTCATTTTCTTTGGGCAATGTGCCCGAGTGGCTGGGTGTTGTAGAAAACCTATAGTCTTAGCTGACCTTCATGTAAGTCAGACCTTTACAACAATAACAGTAATGACCACCAACAACTAGACTAGTTGCTAATGCTAATAAATTCCCTTTTATCCCAGGGAAATCTCACCCCAGCACTTCACTATTCCTAAGGGCTTCACAGTGGAATTACCATTTGCTACTCCAAGAGCCTGAGAGAGAGTCAAAAATTGATACTGCATTTATAATCTTTAAAAGCCCACTACAAATCAGCAAAAGAACAGTGCTTGTAATTCCCTACCCCTTCCTCACTAGACAAGGAACTCAGTGTGCTTATGGATGTGGTACATCTGAATGGTCCACGCTTTCAATGCCCACGGGTACCAGTGATACAAAGCAAGGCAGAGGAATTAAGAGCTGAGACAGGGGTTGGCGCTAGATGTGGGGAGGGGACAAACTCTGCGACCATGTGCACAGTAACTCCAGGTAACTGCCCAAATGAACGGAAGAACCAGGATTTAAACACTCACTTCTACCTGCCTGCCTTCTTTCCAGGCTGGTAATTATTATGATGATATAATTATATGATTAGTTACTAAAATCAGTTACTATAATTAACAATGTTCTTTTAGTCTATTAAAACCCCAAAAGTGGCAGAGATGTCCCACCTGCCCATCATGCTCAAGTTTGTTCTTGGGTGGGAGAGACGCCACAACCAGTTTGTACAGGGCCCAGTGAGCAGCCTGATCACTGGAGTAGAGTGGTGCCCAAATATAACTCAGTGATCATCTCTGACCACTAAGAAATAAAGCACACGTTTTATCTGCTAAAAATCCCATCACTGGTTAAAATGCTCCCCAGTTACTAGACTAGAAAGAAGTCAGCAAAACTATCTTTATTTGGAAATGCCACCATATAAAAAACTAAGAAATTTAGTACAGAGGGGGTGGGGGCAGGGGGGAGAAATGAACCAAGCCTTGTATGCACATATGAATAATAAAAGAAAAATGAAAAAAAAAATAACATGTGAAAAAAAAAAAAAGAAATTTAGTACAAAAAGAAAAAAAACTACTAGAACTCATAAAATGAGTTCAGCAAGGTTACAAGATACAAAAATCCATATATAAAAATCAGTTTTATTTCTATGTACTTTGCAATGAACTGTGTGAAAATGAAATTAAGAAAACTTCATTTTCAGGAACTTCAAAATGAGTAAAATTCTTAGGAATTACTTTAACAAAAGAAGCCTAAATAGGGCCGTGGACTGTAGTTCAGTGATTGCTTGTCTAGCATACATGAGGCTTGGGTTTGATCCTAAGTACTACAAAAAAAAGCATAAAAATTACGCTCTGAAAATGATCAAACATTGTATAAAGAAATCAAGTAAGGTCCAATAAATAGAAAATATTTTATATTCATGGATTAGAGAACTGAATGTTGTTAAGATCGTAATATGCCCCAAATGTGTGTGTGTGTGTGTGTGTATCAGCATCTCAGCTAAACTCTTTGTAGTAACTGATGTGATGATTCTAAAACGCACAAGGAACTGCAAAGGACACTAACCAGCCAAAACAATCTTTAAAAAAACAGCCAGGATTCAATCCCAACACCACAAATAACAATAATGATGATGATTATACAGAAAGACTCACATTTCCTGATTTCAAAACATGATCAAGGCAACAGAAATCAAAACAGTTGGTACTGGCACAAGGATAGGCACATAAAACAATAGAATAGAACTGAAAGTTTAGGGCTGGAGTCATGGCTCAAGTGGTAGAGCGCCTGCCTAGCAAGCACAAGGCCCTCAGTCCAAACCCCAGTGCTAACAAAAAGGAAAAATAATTGAAAGTTTATAAATATACCCACACGTCTAGGTTAACTGAATTTTGCCAAGACTTTCAAGCCCACACAACGGAGAAGGAACAGACAGTAAACACCTGAAAAGATCCTGGTGACTTTTAGTTATCAAGAAAATACAAGTCAAAATCACAGTGAGGTGACTTCACACTCTCTAGAACAGCTGAACTCAAAAAAGTTAACAGCCAGTGCTGGAGAGGATGTGGAGAAATTGGACCCCTCATACAGCTGGTGGAGACGTAAAATGGTGAAATTATTTTGAAAAATGAAGTCTGGTAGTTTCTGAAATGATTAAACAGAGTTCCTGAAATGATTCAGTAACTCTAATTCCAGAGACACGAAAACACATACCTACAAAGGAATGTGTACAGCAATATTTATGGCCGCATCATTCATAATAGTTAAAAGGCAGCAATCAAATGATGTGAAGTGAAACAATGCAAAATGATCCCAGGTGCGCCATCAGAAAGTGAGAATTTTCTCTAGCTTGGATCCACCATTTGTACTTTCTACTTGGTACCTTACACTCTGTAGGAGACAGGTCCCATCCCTAGGGCCTGTGCTTTTACTCTAATGCTTATTTGCTAAATTAATCTGGGCTGAAACTAGAACAGACTGCTAATTTTTTTTTTTTTGCAATATACAACAGTAATGCAAACAGAAATTGAATTTGTACAGAATAAAAGTTGTAAAGATATTAAAGTATCCTCATGTTTATATATCTATAACTCCTGGAGCTTTGTTTTTGAAAAATTTTAAAGTTTTCCCGTCAAATTGTTTTGTAAATATGTAAGATCACATGAATGTTTGCCTTGCACTGGTCCCATTTACAGTCTTCTCATTACTAAGATGGAAACTAAGTCAAACTTCACTGATGAGACTGGGAGGCTGGAAAAGAGGACAAGACTAAACTATTTAGTTTGGCCAGACATCCGAATAGGAAAAGCTTAGCAGCCAAGAAAACATGGAGGGACAGAGCTAGCATCAGTTTTGATTGTGGTGTCACAAGAAAGGCATGTGCTACAGAAGGCTCGTCACAGTCTGGAAGAAGGCAGCCAGGAATGAAACACCTTCAAGTGAAGGGTAGCTCCCACTCCTCTGCGATTCAGGAATTCTTATCATTCCTTCTGCCACCTGGGAGCAAATGATTTTACAATCTCCTCTATATTTCTGATGTCATCTTACAGAATGGTCTGGTTCACTGCTTTTAGACAGAATGTGCTATAAAGAGACTTAGGGAAATAAGTCACTGTGTGTCCTTCTCCATGAGGGACAAAGGTAGACAGGTGTGAAAAGATCTTTCCGGGTGTGAAGGAAGAAAAACAGCACAGCAAATGAACAGCAAAGAAACGGGAACCTGTAGGGAAGACAGGCAGGAAAACTGTCAGGATTAATGGGGTTTGGTGTCAAAGAGCTCAATTTGCAAATTCCAGGAGGCAGGTGCTAGGGAAGAAGTTTGCCAGGAGACCTGAAAATCAGGGTGGGGCTCTAATGCAGGGGCCTCGCCAGTGAAGAGAGCAGGAATCATAGGCAGTGCTCCTCCTCATTGTACAATAAGCTTCAGAAGACCATCTACTTCATAGGAAGCGGAACCAGATCCTCAAAGGGTCCACGACAGCAGTCACAATTCAATTACAAGGGACTGAAGAACTTAGCTGTTCAGTCAAGAGAATGTGGAATTTAAGTCTGCTATTCCAAATCAAAGATTAGTTAAAGCTCTGAGCCTAAGTTATGGCCTCCTGGTTCCTTAACCCTTCTAGCTCAGGGGCTGGTCTTACAAACTGACCCCGGGTCCAGTTTACAGGGAAGAGTCAGGTGACTTGCTGGCAAAGCAGGTAGGCACCAATATTTTCTGTTTCTCACTGTCTTCTGGGCACCACTGGCAGGATTCCATTAGGAAATGAATTGTAACAAATAAGCTTTAAGATACTGTCTTCACTTCCATGGCCACTAAAATAGGAACAGGATGCTTCATTTTTATTATAAATAAATAGTTCAAAGCCTGACAGAGGAAGAAAAGAATGGCTTGCGTATTTGATTATGTATGCATTTATTAATCCTGTCTTCTCACCTCATGGGAACTGAGATTCACCAATCTGTCCGTGTCAGAAGATGACCTTGACTCTAGAGCTCACCTTTACTGATCACAGATGCCACCTTATGAGGATACTTATTTAAGCAATACTGTAAGATATTAGGGTTTCAGTTGAACAAGACGTTGAGCTTATAAAGCCCAGCCCCCTGGTTTTTGTTCTTTTTGTTTTTGTTTTTGTTTTTTTTTTTTGTAATGGAGTCTACAGTAGGGAATCCATTTCTTTGTATGCTAACTTAGGAACATAAATGATTTCATAGGAAATGTTAGGCAGATCCTAGCTCTCTAAGGAAGGGGACAGCAGAAAAGAGAGAAAGAGGACCTTGAGTTTTCTCCTGTTGCCTAAAGTCTGGAAAATGGGCCACCTTCCTGGTGAGGTGTATTCATCCTTGTGTAGGTAACATGCATCACTTTTTACTTTTTAATGTAATACACTTTATTCTTAGAGCAGTTTTAGGTTTACCAAGAAATGAGGGGTTCTCATACCCTCTCAACTGCCTGTCCCCCACCACTGAATTTCCTGTGCATCAATATCTTGCATTTCGGTGGTAGATTTATTACAGCTGCTGAGTCAGCACTCGTGTGTTACTGTTAACTGAGTCCACAGCCGCTATCGGGATTCTTCTGTGCTGTACGTTCCATGGGCTTTAACAAGTGAATCTTCCTTCCTCTATTCCACTCTTGCTCACAGATCCCAATTTTTAACAGAAACTCCATAGATTGTTTTTGCTCCATAGATTGTTTTGAGCCTACTATTTTAAGAGGAAACTAAAACTTACCGGCTCAACAAATTCAAATTTCTTTTTTTCTTGAACCTCTTGGATTTTAAAGACATATTCTAATGATGCTTCATAGAAGTTTTGATGTTCTCGGTCAATCTGTGTATCTGCCTAAAAAAGGCAAGAGAAAGGGAGGGATTACTGATAGCTCTATGTAGAGGGGGAGTCAATTCATACTTTACTCCAAAGTTTTTATTAAATACTAACTCCTGCAAGAAGTTTTAATACAGGACTTATTACAACCCTTAATCACAAGAGGTTATAGTGTATGGAGTTGAAAAAACACATATGGATGCAGAACAAAGCCTAAAACAGTCTGATATAATAAGCAAATTAAGTAATATATATTGTATTACATTGCATTATGTTACATTAATTTTATATATTGACAAATTAAGTGAAAAAATTACAGTAAATGTGAGCCCAGTGGCTCACGCCTGTATTCTCAGCTACTTGGGAGATGGAGATGGGGAGGGAGGTTCATGGTTCAAAGCCAGCCTTGGTAAAAAGTTAGTGAGACCCCCTACCTCAACAAGCAAGCTGGGCACAGTGGCTCATGCCAGTCACCCCAGCTATGCCAGAGGCATAGTTAAAAGAGAATCACAGTCTGAAGCCAGCCTCAGGCAAAAATGGGAGACCCTACCTGAAAAGTAAAGTGAAAAAGGGCTAAGGGTGAGGCACCTGCCAAGCAAGCATGGGGCCTCGGGGTCAAGCCTCAGTATCACCAAAAAAAGAAAAAGAGTAAAAAGTACAAAAGAGATACATAATCATGTATGTGAAAATTTATGGGATCACAGAAGGAGACACTGTTTGGGAGAAAATGGTGGTATTTAAATTGAATGCTAAGGTAAACAACTGACAGAACCAGGTCACAGAGCATCTTAGAAACCCCCCAGGAGGGCAGAGGAAGCCAGGCAGGCACCACACCTGGAAAGATCCCGCTTCTGCGTGTGTGGCAAAGCTGGATCCTAACTGAAGTAGAAGCAACAGCAAACACCAAACAGGAGAGCTTGAGCCGAAATCAAAGAAGAATCAGCCACTGTAATGTGAGGAGGGCACTCAGTCAAGGTCAGGTACAGCTACTCTCCCTGAACCTGAGGTTCTATGGATGAAGAACCATCTGGAGGTCACTTTATCGTCTTTCTGACCTCGCCTCTTCTTCCCCTTCTTTGCCTCAGACGTACTCTTGCACAGTGACGGGTTCAGCGGAGACACAATTTGCCTTTCTTGCTGCTTCATTCCCTCCTGCCAGCTCAGATCACTCACTCAGATGAAGAGCATGGGCTCTTTGGAGCACCAAGTCCCCACTGACAATTTGGGAAGAGAAGATTGCCTGAGAGCCATTTACAATGTAATCTCACAAACAAAAGAGCTCAGCGTAAGACAGACACGATTTAGAATTCGGTCCTGGGTGTCTATAGGAAGGTTTCATTTGGAGCGCCTAGAAATTACTGTGTGCTGATTGCACCTTTGTTTACATAACTGCATCATAACTTGCTTGGGATTTTTAAACTTGAGAACTCCAAGTTTCTGTATGTGGAACATATGTAAATCAGGTAGAAGATATGAACTAAAAACGTATCCGCTCTTACAAAGATTGCTTAGGAAACATGTAGGCACCAACAAAAAGAAAATCAGTGCCCCATGGAAACCATATCTCCTTCCTTCTTACCATCACTGAGAGGAACACACTGCGTATATGAATGAGTTAAGCTGGTAAGGAGATGCGGGTGGTGGTACAGTACATGTGTAACAACTGGCTTTCGAGGGAGAAGACACTGATTTGCAGTGTTTGCTGGCTTCCTTGGTGTAAACAGGCCCCAAATGGCTACTTTCAAACCACAACTCCAGCATCGCTGAATGCATGAGCTGGAAAGAGAAGCAGAGGTGGGCTCTGTGGCACAAGCTTCAGTGCACTACCAGGGTTAAGGGATTTAAGAATGTTCTCAGTTTCAGTGGCAACACTCTACTGCAGGGGATATTTGGAGGATTTTATTCACTTTAAAAGATGAACTGGGAATGGTAGTACATGCCTATAATCCCAGAGATAGGAGGAAGGAGGCAGGGGGACCTCGAGTTCAAGGCCAGCCTGGGCTACATATTGAGACTCTGTCTCAAATCAAAACAAAACAAAACAAAACGATGGCCCCTGATTGTGCTGATAGCACAAGGGAAGAAACTAGAATATTAAGGCATTTTTGAGCCTAAATTGGTTGTTGCTTAGCAGCTGATTGTACAGGGAGGAGTGAGAACAGCAGGCCTGACTGCACTCTGTGGACAGGCTACTCACAGGGTTGGCTCTGGGGGGTTCCCATCACCAACGGTAAGCACAGCTGGTGTGCTGGAAGTGTCTGCCCAAACTGGATGGTTTGTGCTGAGCGCTGCTGTCCTTTCAAGAGTCTGAGTCGTGGGCAATGCCAGCCTGAGGGTGCCAATGCCACAATCCTCCAAGAAAACCCAAGCACTGAGTCTGGTAAGACAGCCTGTCACATGGGTTGTCACCCTTACTGCTGGGGAGGCTGAGGGTGGCCTCTGTGCCCACTGGGCGAGGACCCCAGGAGGCTCGCAGGAGGCTGCACCTGTTCCTGCAGACCTGGTTGCAGGCACTTCTTCTCCTGGTGCTGTAATTAGTCAGCGCCTGGCTAGGACGAGGTGTGGAGGCCTGCAGCAAATCACTGACCCGGGTGGCCACTGGAGGGGATCCTGCCACAAGAGCATCAAGTCGTTTCTTCAGATATTCATTTGCCGGACATAGTCCCATCCCACCCCAGCCCCCAGGTGTGGGGAATACAAAGGGTGGAAAGAAGGAAAATAATCATTCTTGACAATTGGTAGTTCTAGATATTTTCTTTACTCTTTCCTTTTGCTGTTTTTAAGACAGGGTCTCACTATGTAGCCCAGGCTGCCCTTGTCCTCCTGCCTCCCTTTTGTCTAGTGCTGAGATTACAGGTGTGTACCACCATGCCTGGCCATATATGCTTTCACACACCTCCAAACTAAACAACTGAAGCCTGACAGGCCAAAGCAGCTCTGAAGGGTCACTGTGGGCATACAGAACTGAAGGAAAATGACATTTTAACTTCTTCCAGCATGGGACTTAGAAAGGTATCTCTTTTCTTGGATGAACCCTTTTCAAACTGGTGTGGTTCACCAGCAGTAAAACTTGTTTTTAAATGTGGTAGCAATGGGGGCTACATATTTTGCATGGGGTAAGCAGGGTGACACTATTAGTCATTCAAACTGGGACAACTGTTTAAACGAAGAGGAGAAATCACAAGTATGGCAGAATGGCAGGTGTACGCTGTTGTTTACATGGCAAAAGGAACTGTAAGGAAAGCAATCAAATTAATTCCTAAGAAAACCATGGCATTGCAGAGACCAAAATTCCATCCCAGCTACAAGAAGCTACCTTGATCCCAAATAGGGCAAAGGCTCAGGTGATGTTTGCTGAATAATTCCCAGAAAAGAAAAGGTTTAAGGTGAACTCTGAAGAACTGGGAAGCTTAGAGAAGGGGACTATAAAAGAGAAGAATCTGAGTGAAGCCAGAGTCAGGAAATCAGAACTAATGTTTAGATTTGTCAAAGAAGTTTGCTTCAGGCCTGGCGTGGTGGTGTGCACCTGTAACCCCAGCTACTTGAGAGGCACAGACAGGAGGACAGCAATCCGGGGCTGGTCCAGGCAAAGTCTGTAAGAGGAGACTCTGGGAAAAACAAACTACAAAGCCAAAGGGCTCTCGGGGTGGCTCAAGAGGTACAGTGCTTGCCTAGAGCTCGTGATGCCCTTACTTCAATCCCAAGGACAGGAAAAATTTTTAAAAAAAGGTTTATAACTGAATTTTGGGAACAATCAGAAATGATAATTATGGCAGAAAAGACATGTGAGTGTATACTACATTCCACAGACAGGACAAAAACTTAAGGACGATGTTGAAAAAAAATCCAACCTGTGTTTCAAGAAGACCAATGTGCTGGGTGCTGGTGGCTCAAACTTGTAATCCTACCTTCTTAGGAGGCAGACAATGGGAGCCCCGTGGTTCGAGCCCAGCCCAGCAAGACTCCATCTCCAAAATAACCAGAGCAAAATGGACTGGAGGTGTGCTCAAGTGGTAGAGCACCTGCTTTGCAAGTGCAGAATCCTGAATTCAAAATCCCAGACCCACCAAAAAAAAAAAAACTACAAAGAAGAAGACAACCATGCATGAATACTGCAGCATACACTGGTAAATGGTGGGCCTAGTGCATGGGAACCCAAGCCTTCCAGTGCAGCCCCACAACAAAGAAGTTGAAAGTTGTGGGTATGAGAACCAAGGGAAAAGTCAAAGAGAAATATGACACAAGAAATGAACCAACGGTAACAGATAATTAAGGAACTAGGAACAGGAGAACTTTGTGGAGGCAGTGATGTGGACGCTTTCACAGGTGGCAGGACCCGGAGATAGTACAGACAAGGAAAGGGATGGCAGAGGCACAGACTGACGGCTGAGAACACATGTGCAGGGAGGGAACCTAGGGGCATGCTTTATGGAGAAGGCAGGGGCAGTGGGGATCGTCCTCACAATACCAAGAAAGCGTAGAAAACCAAAATCTGGGTTTCTTAAAAGACTCTTTCTCCCCCCTTCACTCTTTCTCCCAACTATAAAAGCAATATATTCTAAATTTGTTCGCCATTCACTAACACAGCACAGAAATGCAAAGATAAGAACTGCAGTCCAGCATTCATATTTTGATGTGTAACACACATAACAACATGCTTTAAATAAAATATGGGATGTTACTGTATATTCCAACTTAAAATTTATTTTTGCTTTTCCTTCCTTAATCCAATAGTTGATTCCCAGATTTTTCAATTTTTTTTTTTTTTTGGTAGAACCAGGGATTGAATTCACAGTTTTATACCAACAACCCTACCAGGTAAGCTTTAAGTTTGTTTTTCAGATAGGGTCTCATGTTTTTGCCTGGGCTGGATTTAACTGCAATCCACCTCCAGCTCACAAGTAGCTGGGATTACAGGCATGCCACCATGCATGGCTGTATCTAAAGAGTCAGAAGCTAAAGTAACATTCCCACCTCTTAGCTGACACTGTGGACGTGTCAGGTAACTCAGAAAGGTACCGAGAGCAGACAATCAAGCTGAATACGAAAAGAGCTCAGAAAGGGAGGAACTGAGCTAGGAACATGGTCCGACGCGTTGGAACAAGCTCTCCTCCGATGGCTAGAAGTCCAGAGAGCAGAGAAAAGACACTGAAGGACCTGGGCTGTACCAGACCTCCTGTGAGGTTCCGGAGGGAGGCAGTGAGTGGGCGACATCTCAACTCCCACCCACGGCGTAACGGGAGCTATCATGGGCAGTGTTAGCACTCCTGAGCAGTCCAAAGCAAGAGACTGAGAGTTTCTGTTTCTTTTGACCTGCCCATCACTGCAACTACAACTCCACTGCTCCTTTGTGGAAGGATGCAACTAACTACAGTCACAGCACTACCAACGGGAAGAAAGAAATGCATTCCATACACCGCAGGTGTATGAGTTAGGAAAGTATCTCTGTTCATTTGTTCTTAAAAAAAGTAGATGTAAAATAACTGAGTTTAAAATTGGGTGCATTCCCAACACTGTTTAAAAAAAAAACAAGCAGAAACCATGTAATGGTGTGTATTTTCCCTGCTGCTGAAGCAACGACTTACAAGCAACGTCACAGGTATTTTAATTTTAACTTAAAGGCCCTAACACGAACCGGGTGTGCCGTGCCTTTTTAAAATATGTCCTCAAAGAGAAAAGAAAAGTCTTCAGCTTCTCTCATTATCGAAGGGAATGCTAGTCTTTTACACGAAGCCACTGACAGGAAATGTCACATGCTGCGTCTGGAGTTTCTGTCCAGAGCAAGAAGTCTGTCGCTGGCATTGTCATTTTATTCAAAAGCAGCAGATCTTGTGACTCTTCCAGCTTTGGAAATTTTGACTTTATATCACTTATGTTAAAGTTTACCTCTTGTAAATGAGATTCCTTTTTCTTCGCAGACAAATTCAAATGCTTGTCAAGAATAGAGTAGTATTTCTCGCTCTCCTTGTCAAACTTCTTCTTTCCATCCTAGGTGACAGCAATTACAACAAAAAAGATTCAAATCAGGGTACAAAGAGAGCCTTCATTTCCACTCCCCGCTGCCCCATCATGAGTCCTCTACAGTTACCTACCTGATAATATTTAGTGAGCTCCAACTCTGTGCAAAACATTAGCTTAGTGGCGTAGGCAGAAGATGTGGACTGTGCTCTTTGAGTGTGCATTCTGCTCTCAAAGAAGCTTCTTGCCTTAGGAAGGCAAGTGTACAGTAACACCAAAAGCCACAAGGAACCTGTGTATGGAGGCCGGGAGCCTGGGTACAGTAGGACAAGTACAAAGCTCTGCAACTGACTGACAACAACAGACTCTGATCTGGGATGTGGTCAAAAGGAAAATGTCTTTTTTTAGGCTTTTTGGTGATTCAGACGAGTTAACATAGAACCACTTTGGAGAACCATTCACACAGACTCTTTTCACAGAATCATCTAATTTCCCAGCCAGGAAAAGACACCTGGTATTTCAAACAATTTATTCTTGACAAGGGAGGAAAAAAAGACTTTTAAATGCTGGTAGAGTCAAATAAATAAGAAAATTAGAAGTCAAATAAAGCAAAAGGATTAATAACATCTGCATCACACTCTTTGAATAATGCTTTAAAGCTGACTTGGTTTCCTGAAATGTCAGAGCTTTTTCTTGGGGGGTGGTTGGGGGGTGCCACCTTCACTGGGGAAAGGAAAAACTGTACCTTATGTCTATGGCATGCGTCTGTAGAAATGCAGACACAAGGAAATCCTAAAGGGAACATGACCTACCTGATCTTAGGATTTTTCCCAGCTGTAAACACTGTAACACCAGCTGTGCTGTCTCCATTTGAGTCGTATGAAACAGATACTAAGTAACTGCACTCATCAGTGTCCCTGGCTGAAGAAGTAGCCTCCTTCCTCTTACTTCAGCCTTTCTGAAACTGCAGCCTCTGCATCACCCGAGGCCAAGTTGAGGGTTTAGAGCTTATTCAAAACGCAGATTTCTGTTTTCCTTCACCCAGAAATTCTGGACTTTTTGTTGCTTTTTATTTCACAACAAGTTCTATGATTATTATTATGCATAATGCTTTGCTTCATTACTTGTGTAGCTACTTGGAAGGGGTGACTTAATAACAGATGGGTGAATAAATGGAAGGAAGTTAGGGAGGGAGGAAGATAAAAAGGAGGAAGGGTAGAAAAGAGAAAGGAGGGAGGAAAGGAGGAGTAGAAAAGAGGAGTGGGGGAAGTAGCGAGAAGGCTTTTCCTACTATTCTGAGTTTGTCAAATCCAGGTTAATTTATGCAGGAAATGTTGTTTTCACCCACTGACATTCTGAACTTTCTTTTTAATTTTACTTACAGGAATGCACCATACTCTATTTGCGTATATGGAATTTTAGAAGCCTGTTGGTAAAATTAGAAGTTCAATAGAAGAAGTAAGTAGGACTCTGCTTTAAAATTTCAAGTTGAATTTTAGACCATTTAAGGAGTATTGTGATGCTTGTGTACTTAGTAAGTGTTGTACATTAAAGTATTACACCTGTAATGGAGTGGGGGCTTGGTTAAATCAAAACCCTCAGAGCAATTTTATTACCTATGGAGAAAGTGTAATCTTACTAAGAGAAACACTACTTGATTTATTATTGAGAGTAGTACTTCCGTAGAAAAAAGATGTTTTGTGGAACGTATATGTGCAGACCCTCAAACCACAGAGAAGATCAAGGTTGAGGATGGGAAGGGGTGTGCTCTCCACCAGCACTGAGTGACGCCACTCTTCAGCCTGAACCTGACTTGCCCAACCTGCTTCTTTCTAACATCCTTTTCATGTTCTTTCCTTTCTTCTCAGGGCCATTCCTGCCAACATAAATGCTCACTTCTTCCAGTTTCCACATATTCAAGTCCTATACAGTTAGCATCCAGCTCAAACAAGCCTCCTTCACAAGCCCCTCCCCACTGCTCATCAGTTGTATAAATGGGTGTCTTACAGTACCCAAGTCCTGCATTGTAGCAGAGAACTCTATGTAGATGCCTCCTTCACTTTGACATCTGGTGAGTGCTCAATAAATGTTCACTGAGCCAGTGACATTCCTTCTCCTGCTAGTGAGTACTACAGTCCCCCATAGGCCCATCATTACCCATGGTGCAAGGTGCAATTCTGCACACACAGCCCTGTCTGGGGGTGGTCAGCTGAACTTCAGTACAGGGTAGAAGCCTGACTCCCTTTCACCTTACAATAGGACTTACCCTTTCTCAAAGGGCACAAAAAGGAAGGAAGTGTACTCAGGAGAAGAGAACAGCTGTGGTGGGGACACTCGTGTCTTTGTTTTCACTCAGTGTTTGGTGACATTTTGGAAAATGTTAATTCAGAGCCAATACATCAGCCTTTCTGGAAATACAAAAATCATTCCTAGAACCACTTCCTGGTCTCTTATTCAAACACTGGCCTTTCACACCACCAGGCCAGCAATGAAGATGTACTCAAAGGTTCCAGTGATGTGGACAACAAAAACTTACTCAGTGGGAGCATAAAATTAAAGAGCTAAGATTAAAGTTGAGACACATAAAGCCCAACTACAACCCAAGAAAGCATGTTCTAGAAAACAAGAAGCATCTCTCACTGCAACTCACATCACCCCCAAAGTCATGATGTACACTCACACGAGCCAAATATTATTGGAACTTATTAATGCAGTCCCACACAGCCTCCTCTTGTTTCTTGTGACTTGTTGCAGACAACGAACTCAAAATTTCTTATGAAGTCAGTGCTGGTGACAGAAGGGGGACATAATTCATGAATGCTTACTACTATTGTATAAAACCACTGTCTTCTTATTGCTATGGCACCATTCTAAAAAATAAAAAAGGACACTACAGGTTGTCTTGGTATGTTTTCCTGTGCATTTAAATTAGGTAGTCCTTTAAGATAAAGTCAAAGCAAAACAAGAACCTGATGGGAAAAGAAGAGGAAAGAGGTGAGGGGGCCGTTCTAGAAGATGTATAAAGTAGTGCTGTTTTAGGATCTTAGTTGCTGAAGTTACATGTTTATGCAGAGACACAGAGACAGGCAGAGGATTGGTACTGTATAAAACAGATCAAAATGGCACATGGGTGCAGAAATCAATTTATAGGCAGTTGAGTGGCAAGCTGTATCTGGGACAGCCATTAGCTGGTCTTTATTTAACACAGAGCGCAGTGATCCAACTGTCCCTCGGTCGCTGTGTCACATGAAGGTGACGTGTGCACATCATGCCATGTACTGAACTGAACAATGGGAGAAAACCATTAAAGCACTGACTGCAAGTGTCAACCTCATCAATTCACGTTTATAACAAAATTGTCAAATGTGTAGATAGGCACATCCCGGTATATATTTTTTAACTTCGCCTGTACTTTGTTCACTTGTATCATCTGGCTCTATCACGTTTCATCTCACCCTGTGAAACTTCAGCTCCTAGACAACATAGCACCTCTTACACAACCTGTCTCCCACCTGCTGGTCATTTCCACCCCCTGCTCACTGGACAAGTGTAACAAAACACCAAGGAATTCTGACAATTCTCCTCCAGTTATATTTTTTCTGAAAGAGTCTTAATCTGGAAGTTTTTCAGGGATGCTAACAAAAGCCAGAGAACGGTATGAACATTTCTTATAATTTAATCCAAGACACAAAACATTTTGCGGGGGTGTGTTTGTTTAAGCAGTACTGGGATTTGAACTCATGGCCTCCTGTTGGCTAAGAAGGTGCTCTAAAACTTGAGCTGTGCCCCATCCCTGTCTTCCCTTCATTTATTTTTCAGATAGGGTCTCATACTTTTGCCTCGGCCAGCCTGGATTGTGATCCTCCTACCTATGCTTCCCACATAGCTAGAATTACAGTCGTGAGCCACTGTACCCAACCACATAAAATAGTTTCTTCTGTCAGGTATCATCACCTTCTTCCTGAAGCCATGCCTAGACCAGGAGGAACGCCATGGTCCTAACTGCCCGTCCTCTCCGAACGTGGCACTTGCTTCCCCATCACCTCATCAGTGGGTACCACATGTTTACCTGTTTCTCAATAGGCTGTACAGCCCTTGCAGGCAGGCACACAAGTACCTTTGTGCCTTCTGTGCCTCACTCATGCATGGAGGCTACCTACATCTCAGATTGCCCCTAACTGAGAGAAGTGTGAGGATTTACTCCCAGAGAAACTTCTAAAAAGCTGCGTCTGTGAGGCTGCAGCCTAAATGACTTCCTCACACCAAGCCTATTAGAAAACAGTTCCACGCAGGGCTAACCCAGTGCCTTCCACTGACCACAGCAGGGTACCAGAGATGGAGAACACACATTACCACATTTAGGTAATTCAAATATAAATTTTCAAAATGTTACCTCATCACACTTCTACACAGATGAATGCTATGAAGCATATTTAAGTCCTGATATTAGCAACCTTTAGTGTTATGTTTCAAAAAATTAAGGAAGTGAACAAATGTTTTCTTCTATGCTTCCTTTTTAAAAAGAGATGGCATAGTTAGGACTTATTCGGAAGGTGGTTTTGATGTTATAAAACTGCAGCCCAGGTCATGGTGAAATTGCTCGTGCAACTCATTATGTCATCTACCTGGCATGGACATTAGCCAATAAGCACTGATTACGAGTTTTGACACCTTCTAAAACATAAAACTAGAAATAGTGATATGAAAAATAAAAGTAGCAATCGGTAAATTTCCTATCTTAAAAATGTGAGGACTTGTTATAAATTTTCACTGTGTTAGGCAGTGAAACAGAAGAGAGAATAGCGGGTAGCCTCCCCTCTCCCGTGCCCGAGGGACTTTTCCCTCTTTGGGGGGAGGGGGGATTTACTTCCTGCTCAGCATGGTGCCCAGATGCAGTCCCTTCCTGCATGCAGTTACACCAGGACATTCCCCATCTCCCCAACTTATTCCACACCAGGTCCCCCATCCTGCACCATCTGCAGAAAAACACATTCCCAAGGGCCTTCCCTGGTTGATATGCCATTGAGATT